TAACATTTTATATTAAATTTATGACAGTAAAGTTCAAATTTTCATTCCTTGTGATCTAACTCTGATTTGTAATTAATAGCAATCTAGTAGGTAGCTCTAATAAGTAGTCTATCCTTTATAAAGATAAAAAAGATGAAAAAATAAAATAACCCAGTACACATTGATACAGAAGTATATGACTGCAATAATATGTCATTTGCTAGGAGTGTGACTATCAAGTCACACCAATAATATGAAAGGTAAGCAGCCCTGCTGAAATATGGCCATCAATTACAGAGAGGTAGATAGGTGCTAATTCATTGCCACATGAAGAACTAAAGTGAGATTATTTAGCTCTAAGTATAGTGTCATGCCTGTGAAACTTTTAAAATTAACTTTTAATTTGTCTTTGGAAATGGAAAATGGCCTAATAACTGGGTAAATAGAGCAAAACTATAGAACTAAAGGGTGACTATTAAAATCACTAAAACTATAGTTTCTCCTATTTTTTTGTCTTAATTACCCTTAGCCACAGAAACAAGTCAGGGGTCTCAAATACGGATTTCCTTTTGTATATACCTATTCTACAAGTATTTACTAGATATCTTGTCATGAATTATCCCAATTGTGTTGGAAATTGGCATAACATTGTCTAATGACATATTTACTTTTTAAAAGTGTTCTCCATACAGCCTCCACATTTAAAGTCTTTGTGCCACTGTCACAGGGCAACAATCACAAAGCTGATGCAGCAGTGGCTAAAGTCACAAAATAGAATTCCTGCAGTTATGAAAACTGAACTTAAATTTCCCCAAGCTAGGTGCAACCTGGATCTCCAGAAACAAGGGAGGAAACCGATCTTTTCTAGTCAATTACTTGTCTGGGATTATTTTCTTATTTAAATGCTCTAAAAGCGCTAAAGAAAGGCTATTAGCCAGTCAGCCATGGTTTCCTTTTATTTCTGCTTAAACAAATCAGTGATCTGGAACCAGGAAAGCTCTGCACAAATAAGAATTTCACTGAACCAGTTGCAAATGGCATTAGAATGAAATTGTTCAGAATGCATTTGATGGTAATTAACATTTTCTGCTGTGCTAAATATTGCCCTGAAGTTAATCATTTTGAAGCTGGAACAAATATACTCTGGGGAAATTCCGAAGTTTGTATTTTAAAATCAGAGGGGTTATTCTTCCGTTATAATTTCCCTATTATTAAAATATGCAGGGATATCATGCTTCCTTGATAGCGAGGTATTCTTTTTCTCTCTATCTGAATGGAATAGATATGAGAACTGTATGGATTATATAGATCAAGTTTTAATATGGGGAATCATATTAAAAGTTTTATTTATATGTATGATATTATGTACAAAAATTATCTCAAATTTTCTATTTTATATAATGAGAATTTGTTATTTTTAAAATATTGAGCCTATGAAACTGTGTTACTTTCACCCAGACAATTTTTCTTCTTGACCACTTGTGGTTGAATAGAATAACATGCTGACAGAAAGGGTTATAAAGAAAGTCTATTTTTTAAATATCAAAATAGCAAGTTGTTGCTCATATTTGGTATCCATAGAAATTATTTATCAAACCAGCAGTGATTTAATAATTATAACTTGTTTTTTGTTTTTGCATGAAAATGTTTTATTTGATAGACAGTAGGGTGTTGGACACCTACAATATAAAGTGAGACGATTATTTTTAAACAGTGTCACAAAGCCAAATTATTGTGTTCGTGTTGATATGTCCTTTAACCCCATCCCCACCATTATTTCCATGCTTTAGTTCTTGTATAAAACTTTTGTTTGGCAAAAATGTTTGTTTCACCGAAAGAAAAATACAGCCAAAATAAAGAGAGAGGGAGAGAGAGAGGAAGAGGGAGAGAGAGAGAGGCCCTTAGTTCACATCTAATAATATCTATTCATCATCTATTTATGTGATACTAAGAACCAGTCAGACACTTGTGAAGCAAAGGTGAATTAGATCCAAAGTTTACTGTCAAGAAACTCACTTTTTGCCACAAGTTTGTGGCCAATATTATTACATGAGAATGCATGGTACTTTCCTGCTTTTGTTTTAATTTTATGAGTGTCTTTCTGTCTCTTAATCTATGCTTCCTTAAAGCCTTCTCCACTTCACACTCTTTTCTCCAAAGTTCTCTGTCACTTATTCTCTCGTTTATTACTTTTAAGGGCATATAATTATGTATTGCTTTTAAGATTTATTTATATAAATTATATTTATTTCTTTTTCCACGTATTAATAGCTATTGCTACATCTTACATTTCTTTTGCAGTGCTTTGTATGTAATAGAGTTTATAAACTTAGAGTGAATGTTTGAAATATTGAGGAATTTATGTGTATGTAACCCCTACAAATATCTAAATATGTTAATACACAAGATGGTAATTATAAACTAGTGTTTCGATGGGATGTAGGTGCACTTTCAATATGGTATCATGGGACAGTATGACAATGTAATTACCATCCTTATCTTAACAACAGCATATTTGTTGTATGTTCTCAGACACCAGTCATTTATCTTTAGAGTTTTGGGTTGCTAAAGCCACTCATCTGAAAAGCCTGTTTTTTGTTTTTTAATTTAAGATTGGAAAGCAAGAACATGTATATTTTGATTTGCTGATGTGAATATGGGAAGAATTTCAAGTGTGCTTGGAAGGAAATGGGAACTGGAAAAAGTGCTGTGTTTGTAGGCTCAGATCCATGACAGAACCAAACATCTCTGAGGTTTGACACAAGCAAAGCTGAAGAGCCTGATCAGCTTTCAACCACCATACTAGGAAGAGAAAAGGGATGTTTTTGCATTAAAACTACAATGCACTGAAAACATCCCAATAGTGGGGCAATAGGTGTTTGATATCATTTAGCATTATGTTTATTTTTTCCTGTTAAATCCCATAGTCTGAAAGTGATAAGAAGTGATTACCTCCTTTGACATCGATAAGATGAATGGTAACGTCCCCTGTGCCTTTGAAATGTCATGTTTCCAATTTAACGTAAGAGCACAGGTAGACACAGGCTCCAATTTATTCTTGTGAGTTAGAAATAAGACACCAGAAAGCCTGATCCCTGCTCAGCGGCAACACACTTGTGGCTTTGGGGATGGAGCGCACTGCTGGGTCTCACAGAGTCGCCATTCAGGACGCAAATCTTTCGTGTGATCTGGGTCTGTATACTCAAAGTCCAGGTCCAGTCATCATGATGAAATTATTCTGGAAATGTGCTTGGTGGGTTTCAGGCTTAACCAAATTTCTCTTGAGATCTTAACGTCACTCCTTAAGAAAGCTATGAGAATCTTAAGGATTTTTTCCAAAAGGCCATGCTAGATGATCAATACAGAATTAGCCTACTAATATTCTAGTAAAAACAAAATGGAAATCAGCACCTTGATTATTTGCAAAAATGAAATGGTACTAAAATTATCGTAAGTATGATGCATATCAAAGTGTTGAGTGATTTTCCTGATGGGTTTATGTATAACATGTAACATTCTGCTGGCTTTCATTTTACTTATATTTTAATGTCTTTGATTTCCAGTGAAAAAATAGTGTTAGGATGAGATTTAAAAAAAAAATTAGGCAAAGAAGGACCTACCTGAAAAGATTCGTGACTTAATTAGGGAAAATTAACGTTAAGATTACTTACTAGGACGTTCTGGCGGAGGAGTTGGGACCAAAGTTGGTTCCGGATGAAGACTTGTGTTGCAAGTCCCGTATGTTAGGCTAATGTCATCCAGCGCTATATCACTCAGGAGCCGGTTTTTAAAAGCATTAAAAGCAACCTGTAATTCAGAGAGGCATATGCAGTGATTCTGCTTGAATGTTCCCTGATTTTAATTCTTCTTGTGGCCCAATATTCTCTGGACAATCAGTACTGCCATCTCCAAATAACTAGGACAACTTACTGTACAGGGAAACACTGATGGGTCATGTTCTTCAAGGTCCTTCTGCTGAGCCCACCTCCCTATTCTGTTTTTCTATTAGTCTAAATTTTCACTAATGTCTTCCTTCTGAGTTAGGCAATACTGTCATAGTGTGTCTCTGTCTCTGCCTCTCTCTCCCGTGACACTGTCATACTCCATTGTATTCTGTCATGCTTGTATATCACCTGACAGGGGAGAGCAAACTTCCCTCAGATTCTTCCCCAACAATATTAGAAATCCAAATTGCTGTCTGCCTTCTTAGAGCATATAAGCCCTGACGAGATGATCCACTGATTAAATCATTTAAATTGGAGAAGAAGGAGACAAGACATAATTTGAGTACAATATGATTATTCAGGGCCAGCCAGTACTGGCTATAATTCACCCAGGAAGCTGCTATAAGATACTGTGTGAGGGTGATGCTCAGAGGACACAGATTCAGACTTGGGAGACAGGTTCAGTGGTCATATGGAATATATTAGGTTCTTAGAGACAGTGGGATTTTTAGCTAGACTTTCCTTAATCCTCTCCTGTGTATGAAAGAAAAGACAGAAACTGACTGGCTGCTCTACGCTAATTGCTTTGCTAGGCACATGTTATACATTATGTCATTTAATTTTTCCAACATGATTGTACAGTCACCCATTCACTCATTTGTTCATTCATCCCACCTGCTTCATGCCAGGCACTATTCCACAAAAGGATTATTTTTTTCCCTTTCATGTATGTGCAAGCTGAATTTTAAAGAAGCTAACATGATTTGTTCAAGATTTGATAACAAAGTGGCGATGCCAAGGTGAAAATATTTGTAGAACTTGACGCTCTCACTCTGCTTGATGAGCTAACTTTGAAAAAGTTGCTCCAGTTTTATGACTTAAAAAAAATGTTTAGGGAGTTGAGCCAGATTTGGCCCCTGAATATATACTTACCTGCTTCTGCTATCTCTGTTCCCCTGAGGTACCATTTCCTTTACCACAAAGAAAGATGGAGAAAAAACTTCACAGAATTGGAGGACAGAATCAGAAGGAAGAAAAAAAAGGAAACAGGGTAAAAAGAAAGGTGGGAGAAATACAGATGAGGGTTGTTGATTATTGGGTGCCCTGCCAAGTCTTGGGAAAGAACTAAAGCTTTCACGGATGACAATTATCTGTCGAAATATACATCTTCTGAAACTTATACTCTCTTGTCTGAAGTTACCCAATTAAAAGCATTGTTAATTTGGTCAAATTATTTGCCTATATTATCCTATGTTTTAATTGCAAACACCCTTAGGAAAAGGACACATTAAGCTGTTATCTGAAAAATTAGTTCACCTTAATGTGAAATAAATGATCAGAGACTTCCCAATGATACAGCTGATAAAATTTATTTCCAAAGGAAATATATGCAGGTTAAATCAGAATGGGGCAGGGTAGATGGGTACCGGTAGTCATGGATGTTCTAAGAAGAAAGGATATTCTCTAGAAAAGTGCAGGGCTGATCTAGGTGGTAGTTGTAAAAAGTTGGAAATCCTAGTTAGATAGGGGCATAGGAAGACATGGGTAGCTTGTGCTAGATAGTTTGTGAAGAAAGCTGAAACATCCTACAAGGTTTATACGGATTCTATGGCTCATTATAAGTATTGTGTTGTCAGAAAAGTCATGACGTATTTTTTCTATGTTTTTTGTTGCAAAAATGCGTCATGACTTTTCTGACAACACAATAGCACCTTCCTGAAGTACACTGTTCCTCAATAAGTGGTTTTTTAATAAGCCAATGAATAAATAAAGATAGAGGTACTCAAAGATTAAAAAAAAGAGAGAGAAGAAAATTGATTAGGAAAGTAGAGAAAAGTGACTTGGCTATATTTGGAAAATAAATTAATTATTTTTAACGACATCACTATAAACTATAATTATATCACCATTTTTAGAATACAAATACGTAATTATGAAACACAAAGTATTTTGCCAACCTTAAATTCCACTGTTTCATTTATTGTTACTTGTCCATAATTCCAAATTTTTCCATAATTTCCTTCTTTTTGGAAAATTATCTTCTCCATGTTTTGGTCATTGCTAATATTAATGCTTAATTTATAGACATTTTCACCATACATGTAGTACCTATTTTGGAAACAAGAAAACAATGATTGGATTCCTACAACATTAGAATAAATGCATTTTCAGGTTCTTCTAAATCCTTTACTGTCTTTGAAATATCCCCTTTTCCCTTGGGTGAGGAAGTTGCTAGAGAAGGGGTGGGAGTCTCGCGGCATTTTACTTCTTCATCAATTAGAAAAGTAAAGGCAAATTTATTAAAACTTGGGATAACATCTTAGTAAAGTCTGAAGCTGGTAGCTTAAGACAAGCAATGTTATTCATTAAACAGTGTGGTAATTAACGTGTCTACAACATACCAGAAGCTAAGGCAGACTGGTTCCAAAGTGGGGTCTAAAGGGAGACTTGAAAGTTGTACTCTTTCTTGTCTCCCTCCTGGTCCAGTTGGGGTGGAAATGTAAAATCCTATAAAAACAATGAAACAGTTGTTACTTTACTTAAATCTTAGCATTTTCATTATGTGAGATAACCAAAAGTGGTGAAGAACAACTTTAAGATGAAAATATAAGGAAATATATTTAGGTAGAGTGAAAAGGACACTGGACTGAAACCCAGAAGGTACTGTCTCTGACATAACATTGTTATTTAGGAAAATCACTTCTCAACACTGGACCTCTCAGTTTATAAAACATGAACCTTGAACTGAAGCATGACTAGAAACACATCAAACTCTGACTTATTACTGAGAACACATGATTATTTCATCATATTCTCATGTCCAAATACCATTTTAATTCCCATTTATTAGATGTTTTGATTAATTTGTTCTATAGAGACAATCAATCCCTGAGGGTAGTTAGATATACTGGTGGGATAACTCATGATACATGCACGAATTTAAATACAGATTAGAAGGCAAAGTTAAGAGTTTCAAAGACCATCAGGTTTTTACTCTATTGTTTATGCTGCATCTCTTTAAATAAGAAGTTACTTAATTTTATAATGGTTTCATCTTCCATACTCCTTTGAATGGTAACTAGTCAGATCACAGAGAAGCAGGTAGCATGCAATTCCACATAAAAGCTTTATAAATCACTCAAGCTACTGAATAAAGTGCTCTCTGGTCTAAAATTCATTATTCCAACCAATGACTTGAGTCATTTGAAGTGTGTGAAGAGTTACTGGGGTGAGAACATCTTGATCATTTTCTTAGGGGAATTTAAATTTTTTTTATTCTTAGTTTGCAGCTCATAGATTATGATAAATAATAAGAATCATAACAAAATATGATCTAAAGCAAATGAAATATTAGATAAATCTAATTTTACTGGAGTGTAATTCTTTACAAAATGCTAAAATTTAGTGTTTATTTGAAATCAAGCATTTTCTCTCTTGTGCTTTCCAACAGAATTTTTATAGGCAATGCTGTGCATAAAATTGAAACTTATTTATTTATAACATGCAAAGTAAGGACAAGAACTGCCAATAGATATATCAAAGCATATTTATATCAGTGAGGCAAAAAATATTCAGAATAAATGAGTATTTTTTCAAGGTGAAATTATGGTCAAATATCTTAAGAAATATAATACATGCAAATTATTTGATTTAGATTACAAAATAGAAAAGAATGCATGTTTAACATTTTATATTAACACATTACTGTTATATAATGCTGTAATACTTCATGTGCACTTATTTTAGCTACATAGTTAGTGCTTAATTATTCAACTTACTCTAAAAAGTAGCAAAGCTACAAAGGAGATATTCTAGAATTCACTCTCTAAATGCCCAACTCCAAATCCCTTCTGAGTTGACCTTACTTTTAGTTGCTTAGAATATAGTTGGGGAGGAAATAATTTAAAAACCATTGAATGCCACAAATAAGTACTAAAATGGCTAGCCTATCCAGAAATATTTCTAGTTAGCTGCAATTACATAACATAAGCACACTTCGTGTTCTTATTTATGTTTGGCCATATTCATAGTCAATTTGTTTTAATTTGAAATATTGCAAATCTATTGTTTACTCATTAAGTGGTAATATATTAAGGGTTTTTAGTGTGATTAAGAGATCATGATGTTATGAGCTTTGTTTCATTGTCAAGATAAAATATAATTATGTGGACTTTAGTACCTTATGAATTTTGCATAAATAAATTTTAAAAATTCAATATAGTAAATATATAGAATCACATGTTTTGGAACCTAGTAAAATAATAAATTATATTAAATTAATATTTCTGTGATACCAGCTAAATCCTTTAGTTAACAATTTAGAAAATTAAAGAAATTCTTCATACATTTATGAATTTTAAAAGTAGAGAATAGTAGTTTACAAAAAATTTTTACTTAGTCCAGCAATCCAATTGCCATTAAATTTCACCTATAACACTTTGCCACAGGGGTTACTCGACCTCTGTTTAATACAGGTCCGATGCCCCAGGAATCATTGCATCTTGAGGCAGCCCATTCCATTTCAACATGACTAGAAAACTCTTTTCTTTTTTCAGAGTAAGTTATTGTGCACCTATTGTTTCTAATTTTGCCTCCTGGACCCATTGTAGTTGGTTCCACTCAGAGTATGCGACCAGAAATCCATACAGTGTTTCTTTCGGAGTATCTCACTCACCAGGTGGAGGAGTAGAAACATCATAATATTTGGAACTATGACTTAAGTCAGACCATTATTTATTTATGTCATTGTCCTAGTTCTCCAGCTCTCCATGAGAATTTTTCATTGCCGACATTATTGCTTAATAATGTTTCTTTCTGTGCAATATAATTGGTCCCTTATTCAACATCATTTACCATCTGTTTTTTTCCTACTAAACCAAGTACAAATTTACTCTGATGTTGGAGTTTTCTGTACTATGAATTAAATATCATTTTCTAGTGATAGTTCTTATAATTCATTTATTTACATGTAGCACTTCTATGATATTAGATTATTTTAATTTTTCAACACCCAGAAATTTTTATAACTTCTTTTTCCCCCTGTTTTCCTGTCATTCCTCTTTCTCTTCCAATTGTACCTGTCAAATCCTACTAATGTTTTGAGGCCATTTAAATCAAATTGCCTTGTCCTTTGCGACACCTCTCTTGGTCTTCCTAATCAGATATGACCACTAGTTCTTTTGAATTCTCAGTTGCAAGTGTACTTCTTTGATGTCACTTAAATATTGTGTTGTGTATAACATTTATGTCCATATGTGGCTTTTTAAACTTGCTATAACTTTAGGGAAAAGAAAGAAACTTGGTACACTTTTGAATTCTCTATATTAATTAGCCAAATGTTGTTTCATGTTACACTATATATATTTATGTTACAGTAATTTCACTTGTTTTTTCATTTTTAAATTTGTTAAAACACTACACAAAAGGGATGATTGCACAAATGTTTTCCATAACCATATGGGAATATATGTGGTTAAATGACAGTTATTTTAAAAATCCTTCAACTTTCTTGAACTATCTTTGAGAGCTCTTGGAATTAACCTCAGGGTCAACTTAAAACCCAGAAAACTGAATATGTTTTGTTAATTTAAGCATGCAGTGAAGTTCTTTCTTGAGTCATTTTTTCTTATCACTTTCTTCAATCTTTCTTTTCCGTTTATTTTTCCATGAACTGAATCTACCCCACTCTGCCCCACCCTCAGCATCCCAATTAAAGAGAAAAAGTACTGGATATGTGTTGATGCTGATATAGAGACAGCACAGCTAGAGAGACAGTAGAACTTTCTGGAAACTTGGAGATCACTTTGAAGAAGAAAATAGAGTGATATAAATCGCTTGGTCAGTTGTGAGTTCATATGTAAAATCAATGGACCTAGTAGATAATTATTGACAGTTTTAGTTTGGAGAATAATCCAAATTCAGGTTCTAACAATATCAGAAAATAATATTATTTTCTAAAACTCAACATCACAAGAAACATGGGACATAACAACAATTAGTTTGAAAACATTAGCGTTATACTTATTGTATAAAAAATTTATATACTAAACATAACACAGATACCTAAAAGACTTACTGTATTTTTGAAAATTGAGCAGTATAACTATTATCCTCCCCAGCATACTACTTAGAACAGGACCACAGTCAATTTGTGTCTGTTGAATGCTTGTGGCATGAAAAGAAAATTGGTATAATAACAAAATTTATATAGCACTTTTCATGTGCCAGGCACTTTTCTATTTTTTAAAAAACATAACAATCAACAATCAACTTAATGTTCATAACAAGCCTCTAAAGTCAGGCTCTGTTATCATCCACCCCACTCTCCAGATGAGGGGACTGAGGCACAGAGAGGGGACAGTAGCTTGTTGAAATGGCACAGCTGGGATCTAAACCTAGCTACGTTCATCTGTTTTAATGATCCTTACTACTATATTACGCTAACCTCCAAGCATTAGAAGCAATGATGATTTCATGGAGAAAGGCCAACAAAGAAACGCTCTCTTTAGTTGAGCCCTTTTGTGACCTCTACACTTCTGAAGATTTCACGTTACTAACCTCATTTTCCCTGAATGTTCTGAACAAACAGGCCACTTCTGAGCACCCCAAGACGCTGCCCCAAATCAGTGCCGCTATCTCTACTGATTCCCTTTGCTTCTAAGGCAAACAGGGAGTCTAAGCATTGACGGCACAGATTTAGGAGCGGGTGCCCCACCAGGACAGAGTACTTCAGAAGAGCTCAAAAAGTAAGGGGCTTAGATGTTCTTCCCCAAAGCAATGTTAATTCAGAGTTTTTCTGTTTCATTTAGACTTTCCTGTCATTTAAAGAGAAGGCATAGAACAAAAAACCCTGCATGGATAAGAGGAACAGCAGGTGACATTTAATTCTCATCCATTTTAGAGGTAGGATGTTCTGACATAAAAAAGCAGGTTGGGAGGAAAAATGCCCCTCGGGGGAAATGACTGGTAGATTATGAAATCAGTGGTCAGGGAGTTGGAGAAGACCTATTAAGCCCTATCATCCATCCTCATTACACTGCAGCCTCTGGTGGGCTCTGAACAGCCCCGACTTGTCTCCCTTTAAATAACTCCCGCTACATGACTTTCTCCCGAGACTCCATTGCCGACCCAACTATTTAAAACCTCTACCTGACATTTCAACCTGTTTCACTTTGGTCAGTTTCATCTCATTTCTTTAGTTATTTAATCTGTTGGCAAGCTGAAACCACCTCTCTCCTGTAATGTACTTATATTCTTCAAATATCAGGGAAATTATTTTATCTCTTATTCTGATGACATAAAAGTAGAAAAATGGTAATTTGAACATCAAAGATTGCACCTACATAAAAGGTATCTGTCATTGTGAATAGCTATAAATGCTTTCTGCACTTTCCTCTAACTACTCTTGTCCAAGTGTGGTAGAGGCTTTTTTTTTAGTAAAGGAAAAAAGTGATGAAATTATTTGACTGTTTTAGGCCAGGCTCCTTTAGAGGGTTGGGGTGATTATGACTTCAGCTGTGAGGATTACAAATTTATCTATGGAGTATCAGGCCCTGAGAAATAACTTACTGAAAGAAGATTAATTATGTATGAAACTATGAATGTCATAATTTTCAACACTAAACATGTTTGATTCAATGGGCTTGGCCATCTACATAGTTTATTCGCCCATAGGTTGACATTGGTTATCTAATGTAGCAGGATCCCGTTAACTTTCAGATTATGTTCAGAATCTGACCTTCTTCTCACCAGATGTGTTCCCACTGACCTGACAATTCCATGATCTCTTCTCTGGGTTAGGCAATAACCTTCCACTGGTCTCTGTGACAACACTCTTGCTCTTCCACAAACTATTCTACCAGTCAGCATGAATCCTAGCACTCCTATGCTCAAGAACCTTCCACAGCTCCTCATTTCACTGAGAAAAAAAAAGGCAAAAGCCATAGAAGACCCATTATTTCCTGGACCCTACTGGCTCTATTTATTCTAGCCATGCTGTGGCCTCCTGGCTTTTCTTCAAACAGGTCAGGCATGTTCCCTTTAGAGTCTTTGCTCTGCTTATTCCCTCTGTCTGGAATACTTCATATTTCTAATTCCTTTTTAATTCCTTAAAGTTTTTATTCAAATGTCACATTTTCAGTGAGCCCTAACCTGATCACCCTATTTTAATTTGCAATAACACCTCAACATCTGCCTTCCCCAGTGCCTTTACCAAGCTCTGTATTTTCCCAGAGTACTCATTCCCATTCAATATACTCCCCCAAATGTAATTACTTGTCATGCATAGGGTTTATTTTCTGTTTTTCTTTTGCTTGAATATGTGCTCCATGAGAGCAGAAAATCTGGTTGATTTTGTTCACAGATATATTTTGAGTGCCTTCAATAGGGTCTCAGGCTCAAAAAAATACTTCTGGAAGAAAGGAGTAAAAGAATAACTTAAATGGAGCTTTTCGTGATGAGTATGGAAATAGATTTAAAGTACTCACTTTTTATTAAGAAATATTTTTCTTAATAAAGTACTGTGATAAACCATGTTTTGTTCTTCTATGGGTGCCATCGCTTAAAGACTATGGATTAGTCAGACACATTTCTACCATGAAGGAAAAAATTAACTCTTTAATGTCCTCTTACTAGATGTAATTCACAGTTGACATTAACTCACCCATTTACTTCTTAGGTTATGAAAATGAGAATATTGATCTTTGTAAAATAAGTGGCCATTAGTAATAAATTGCAATGCACATGTGCTCAAATTATTTTGGTCATAAGATATTTTATTCAGCCAATAGCTCACTCATTCAGAAATGCCTTAGTGAGTCAAAGTTGTAGACATTCATTCATATATTCAAAAATAATTTTACATATGTATTAATTAGATTCAGGCACTGAAAATGAACTAAGAATTCAAAGATAACAAACCAATCCTTGTTCCTGAAAAGAACACTGTGATGACAAGAAACAAATAAGAAAGCAAATATAAGTCATGTGATAAGAAAAACAAGAGAGGGGGTTATAATGATTAATGGAAAGGAAACATTTTAACTTGGAGGTTCTGGACAGACATCTTAGAAGTGGTGATATGTGATCTGTGTCTTCAATGCCTAGATCCATGCCTGATTAAAGGAAGAATTTCATATGTGCTTTTTGAATTGAATCATATTCTCATCAGTAACCTGTAAGCAAGTCATATGTGGGATGGATTTTTGTCTAAGAAAATTATCTAAATGCACAAATTTCAATTCTATTCTTTTTTTTTTTCAATATTCCTTACATTGTGAGATTACATATTCATACTTCTAGATTTGTAACTTTCAGTGATTATATTTGGTATTATGAATATATACGTCCAAGATTTTCATGGGTGGTCTTTCCACTATGAGTTCCTTATTTCCTAATAATTCCGCATGATTTCTGGTCTCCTCAGTCAAATATTATTGTCTCCACTGTTAATGTTTCTACTAGAAAACTAATTCTAATATCCCATTCACATGAAAATGGACTTACAAATTATAACCCTTCTTTTAGGGCCATGCTTCAGAATCAGCTCTTCCATCGTCCTTCTGCTATGGACTGAATGGTTGTGTTCCCCAAAATTTATATGTTGAAACCCTAATCCCTAACATTTGGTATCTGGAGATGGGGCCTTTGGGAGGTAATTAGGTCATGAGGGTGGAACCCTCATGGTGGGATGAGTGACTGTGTAGGAAGAGAGAGGGAGAGAGCTACCTTTTTTCCTCCTCCCCCTCCTCCTCCCCTCCCCTTCCCCCTCCCCCTTCCTCTCCCCTCCCTCTCTCTCTTTCTCTCCTATGTGAGACACAGTAAGAAGAAGCTGTCTGTGAACCAGAAGGAGTGTTCTCACCAGAGCCTGACCATGCCGGCACCCTGACCTTAGACTTCCAAATTTCAGAACTGTAAAAAATAAGTCTTTGTTGTTGAAGCCAACCTATCTGTGGTATTCTATTACAGCAGCATGAAAGGACTAAGACAGCTTGTCAGAAGTAAACCTGTCTCTGTTTCAAGATGGCATGATCTTGTGTGTTGGAAATTCTAAGTAATTCCTAAAAGCTATTAGAGTTAATAACAAGTTCAGCAAGTCTATAGGGTACTTTATATTAATCTACAAGATCCATATAAAAAATGAATTATAATTTCTATACACTAACAATGAACAATCAGAAAATAAAATGAAGGCAGAGTAGACCAAAGTTCAGAAAAGCGAATTACCTCACACAAGTCCACGTAGTTAATAAGTGCCAAATCTAAGGTGACAACCCATGTCTCTGTGTCTCTAATAGCCTCTATGTGCTTTTCAACATTTTGAGTATATATAGCATAAAGAATATATATTTTTTGAAACAATCACTTTTACTTACCTATTTAATCATCATTGGCATTTAAGTGTGTTTATTAGTCCATAATTTAAAAAAAAATTGAAAAGACTGTCTTGCATTTAATACTGCTCACTTTAAAGTGATAAACAACACACATCTTTTTTTTTTTTTTTGGCTCATGAATGAAATATGAAGTATACCTGAAGCATTGCCGAAAGTGTGGTCAAAATCTGGTCCAGTAAGTGGGGGAAAGGTATTTCCCTGAACCCTTTCCCATTCATTATCATCATTTAGATCCTGGACCCAGAAACAAAAGCCGTCTTCAAAATTACAATTAATTTTATCATAATCTGTGAATTAAAAAAGAAAACACAACACTTCAAATTTAGTTCACATGTGACTTGTTGTAATAGATTGCATTGAAAATAAACTAGTCGTATAGTTTATAATTAAGTGGTATGCACAAAATCTTTCTTTTTAATTTATCTTAATTGTTTCACTCCATTTAGTATTAAAACAACAGCTTTTTGTTGCCAACTGTGTTCAAGTAATATATTTCTTATATCCCATTAAAACTTTAGCAAAGACAAGCTTCTTGGTCTTTAATTTTTACATTTTACTTCCACTGATTTACTTACATAAACTCTCTCTGTCCTATATTTTGCTTTCTCTCTATTACTAACTTCAATGCTCTGGATAAAATTAAGTTAATGTGGAACATTCACAGAATTAGTTTCAGGCTAATACAAAAAATTTACTTTGAATACTTGCAGTATATAAAATTTAATTATTATATTGATTTATAATTTCCTCAAATTTGTTATTTCTTTTAAAGAACATAAGCTATTTTCTCATTTCTTTCCAAGTATTAAGTAGAGTGTGGTATACATAAGAGATATTCATTAAAGAACTTGAATAATAAAACAGATTACGATCTTGTTCTAAAGTTTTAGGTTTTGCTACTTTTAAATTCCATTATAATATTAAAGCATCTGAGCATTCCAAGGTTAAAGAATAAATAATACTTACTATTAAGTTCTCTGCTGTTAAATGCAGTGTATGTTGCATGAAAGCCGTTGTAATCATTTTCATCAGATTCTATTAAAAAGGTGGCAGTAGCTTGGTTGGAAAAAATCCTAATTTTGCCAGGATTAGTTTCTGAGAGAGAAGCTACAAAACAAAATGAATGACTCTTATATGTACATACCTATCTATTCATCCATTTATTAATCGACTGATCTATCCATCCATCTATTGATTTATGATTGATCTATCAATCTATCTGACACCACTCAGTTATCTAAAAGCATTAGTCCTATGATTAATTTATTCTAATTGAAATGACTTCTCTTAAGCATTAGAAAATCAAATTATTATACATGTTTGTTGCTTGAAAAAACCTACATTTTCAATAATTAGCTACATACACCATATACAAATATTAAAAAATATGCATTCCTTTACTGAAGAAATTCCTCTAAGAAATACGCAAGTTAAGTAGTTATAAAACAAAAAGTTAGTTTGGCTCTATCAGGTATTCACCATGCTATGTCAGCAGAGGTTAAACTCCATCACAATAACAGAAACAAGAATATTTCTTTGGCTCTGTATCCATATAACTGTAGGACCGAAATAATACTTCATGAATTAAGGTTTTTTTCCCACTTTATATTGATTCTTTAATATTGATTTATGTTGATTATATTGTTTCTATTTTATATTGATTTTATCCTTTTTATACCTTGACTCTAAACTACGTTAGTACAATCTTTCCAGAGTTTTGATTCTCAAGGGTTAGCATAGTGCTTGGGATATAAAAAGTACTCACATGATGATTTACAAGAATTATTCTTATATAAAATTTGATTTTCTAAAAATGTATAATTTAGCATATACATTCTAAAATGGGGTGATATTGCCTCTCAAGGGGTAAAAATTGGCTTTCAGAGGGAAAAAAACAGTTTTTAAATGTATAAAGCTCAGATATGCATATAGTACATACACAGATACACAGAATATCTAAAATATTAAAATTTCATGGGGGAGCAATTAGGTAAAAAAGGTATAAAAAGTTTCCTTAGTTGGAGTGATAATGAAAAAAGGGTTAAGAAACAATGGTTTAGCATTTTACTTTGGTAACCTGAACTGAGCATCAGATTTAGGATTATGAAAAGTACCACATTTGCAGGTTAGAGCATTAATTACTGTTATTTACTGAGTTTTAAAGAAAGATCCTTTTGTGAACTGTTGAAAAATGTGTGCTTATTATGTAAAAGTAAGCAGAAAACAAGTGATACATGAATGAAATTTCAATAAAATCTAAAGGAAGCATAAATAAATCATAAGCAAGCATTGATTCACATCTTGCTCTTTTCCTCAAAAACACTGCGTGTCATTCTTCCAATTTTTCTCACTAAGAACTACATTGGTTATTTAGACTCCTCCCACCAGCATATATAACTGTGTAACCCAAATAATTCTCATATTGAAAATCTTTGTAGTCCATAAGTGTCTAGTTGCTTTAAAAATGTGAATATTCTAGAAACTTTGCTTCAAACTTACTACCTCTCTTTTTATTTCTTTTCCACAGCAACAGAATTTGTTTTGGACAATGTCTTCTGGTTGGATCTGCATGTGGCTACTGGTTCAGTGGCACCCTTGATGGTTGTACTGTGTCAGGTCCCCACGTTTTCTAATGACATTGCACTAGTCCAGGTAGTCCAGGGTTAATGTTCTGAGGCCCATTAATGCTTCAGAGATACACACGAACTTCTGGAAATGCTGTAGAATGTTTCTGTCTGTAGAGACTTTGTAAACTTTTATCAGGTTCTTGAAGGCTTCTTGTCTAGAAAGAGGCTTAGGACTGCAGATCCAGTCTTAAATGTCTTATGTATCCAGGAAGGTAGTAGTGGGTAGTGGTGAAGAGGGAGGCTCCGGAGGTAGCATGAGATTTATTCCTGACTCTGTGTCTTACTGGACTTCTCTGTGCCTCAGTTTCCTCTGTTATAATAATACTTTCCATAAAGATTTGTGATAAGGAGTAAATAAGTCATTTCCATGTGTTAAAAGTGGCTGGTGTATAGTGCATGCTCAATGAATGCTATCTATTGTTTCTTCATCTCCCCATAAGCCCTAAAAATTTAGAGATTATACTTAATGACTTCTGTGACTCTGCCATTTTGCCAGAACATGGGAAACTTTTAATCACTATTTGGGCACCTGAATTAAGATGTGAGTGACGACAGTAATAGAGTTTGCCTGTATAAAATAGTCAGGGCTGAAGTGGAGAGGAAAAAAAAAATCCTAATAATTTTTAAAGGTTGGATTTTTCTATAGCAGATATAATACATTTTTAGACAATAATTTCTTAAGAGAACCCATTGTCTTGTACTGAAAGAAAGACAAACCAATAATTCTATTGATATTAATTTACATAAACTTGCCAAGCAGTCACATTTAAATGTAAATTAACTCACCATTTGTCTTTTAACAGCAAAGGCTATGTGAGTAGGTTTTGTTAAAGAGGAAAGCATGGAAGTATGATTAAGATGCAGGGGGATTTAGAAGGACAGGGATTTGGAAGGAGGGGAATGGGCAGGAATGACAGAATTTTCTACAGAGTATGTTTCAAAAGATCTAGCTCAAAACTCCGAAATTCTGCCATTAGAGAATTGTGTGTGCTATAAAGGATTTCTAATGTATTCAATACATTTTAATGAGTGCTCACTATTAATTTGGCATGGTGCTAAGTGCTGGTGACATGGAGAAGAAATAACCAGGTTCTCCTATTATAAAAGTTCAGATTGGTGAACTATTAAAAAAATAACTTCAGAATTAATCTATATAGGAGAAATGCCATAGGGGTATTGAGGAGTAGGTGTGGAAGTAATCCTTAATTTTTCCAGGCACTATGATTGGAAAACCTTTGAGAGCTTCCCGGAAGACCAACACTTTAAGCTAGTGCTTGTTAAACTTGCAATATAAATAACCCCATCAACAGAAGTGATTAAATGGGTACTGCTAAGTGAACACAAAAGTTTTCTAATAAAAGCACAATGTTTATCAAAAAACTTTACTTTGAAAAATATTTGCATATATTATTTAATTCTGTATCCACAATATGATTATTTTTGTTGTAGGGTAAGTTGACAATTCAGGAGGATCCAACTATGTTTATTATATATTTGGCTGTACCTATGCACACTTTTGTGTGCTTCAGTTTTAAGAGTATAGCCTCAAACTGTTAAGCTGCAATGTTAGGGATAGGTGATTAGCATGCACTTGGTAATGGAGTAATATTATAAAGAATGGCATAGCAACTACACATTCAAAAACACTTTTTCTGGCCTTGGCAATTTGAAATCAGTTACAGTGTGCTCACCAGGTTATTTTTGTTGTCTTTCTTTAGGGATGCAGAAAAATACCTTTTTATTTTTCTGAAAACAAAAAAGTAAAAACACCAACTTCTATCACTTCCATAGCTAGTATTGATAATTATTACCATCACTGAATTAAATATTGTACCTCCATCACTGCAACTTAAAAAAAGCATTTTTGAACTAACTCTCCTGTCAGCCTGTTCTGATTTACTTCAATTCCCATAATTACTTGGAGAAGACCCAACTGCACTCTAAATCATCTTTCTTTATGTAACGCCCACTTTCTTCTAACACTTTTTACCAGTTAGAACACTCTTGACTATATGCAAAAAGACTACAGAATACCTTTAGAATTTATTTATACTGACATCCCTAATCAAGTATATACTCATAAGAACTATTTTATGGTACTGGATACTTTTATTTTCTTGTGATTTTTACCAGATATTCTTATTTTCCCTAATTTAATTAAAATATTTTTATATTTTCAGTGTGATAAAGGTAATAACATATATATATATATATATATATATATATATATATGACTGGAATTTAATGGAAGTAAATCTTGTATGCATCTCTCACATAAAGAAATTTACTGAAAATTTAGAAAAAATATAGGATTGTAGGATTGTTAATCAAGAATAAGTTTTGTCATTATTCTAAAACAAAATAATTTTAGTTATGAGAAAGATATTGATCTTTATTAATTGAATACTATAATACCATGATATATACACCTGTTAGCTTAAATATAAATCAACAAATACTAAGTTTTTACAATATATCAGGCATTGTGCTAGATGGTGGGCTAGGATATTATTGCCTTTTTTAGAAAGGTATAATTTTTAGTTTTAAAATGTAATTTTAGCAGTCACACCATTTCTTATATTTTTGCAGGTTAAAATTAAATTATTTAACTTTTAAAAGTTTAAACTAGATTCACATTTCCAAAAGATCTTAAAAATTAAACTACCTGTTTATTAGACATACAACCCCAGGAAGAACAGAGAGGCCCAAATAACATGAATCCAAAGAGGCCAACACAAAGGTATTTTATAATTAAAGTGCCAAAGGTTAAAGACAAAGAGAGAATCTTAAAAGCAGCAGAGAAAAGCAGTTAGTTACCTAGAAGGGAGCTCCCATAAGACTGGCAGCTGATTTCTCAACAAACTTTGCAGGCCAGAAGGGAGTGGCAAGAAATATTCAAAGTGATGAAAACCAAGGATCTGTAAACAAGATTTCTCTACCCAGCAAAGCTATCATTTAGAATTGAAGGCCAGATAAATATCTTCCCAGACAAGAAAAAGCTAAAGGAGTTTATCACCACCAAAACAGTATAACAATAATGTTAAAGGGACGTCTTTAAGAAGAAACAAACGATCTAAACTATGAGAAATAAAATGACAAGTACTAGATATTTATCAATAATTACTTTAAATCTAAATGGATTAAACGTTCCAATCCAAAGATATAGGGTGGTTGAATAGGTAAGAAAGCGAGACCCTTACATTTACTGCCTATAAGAGACTCACTTCAGATTGAAAGGCACACACAGACTGAAAGTAAGGGGATGAAAAAAGATATTTCACGAAAATGGAAACAAAACAAAACAAAAGCTGGGTAACAATACTTATATACCAGACAAAATAGACTTAAAAAAAAAAAGGCTACAAGAGACAAAAGAAGAACCCAGTAATTCTACTTCTGTGTATTTACGAGTATCAGAAGAAGCCCCAAACACTAATTTGAAAATACATGTGCATCTATATGTTCATTGCAGCATTATTTACAATAGCCAAGATATGGAAGCAACCTCAGTGTCTATCAATAGCTGAATGGATAAAGAAGAAATGATATGTGTGTACACACACACACACACACACACACACACACACACAATCACAATGGAACATTACTCAGCCATAAAAAGTAATGAAATGTTGCCATCTGCAACAACACAGATGGACCCAGAGGGTATTATGCTGAGTGAAATAAGTCAAAGACAAATACCATATGGTTTCATTTACATGTGGAATCTAAAAAACAAAATAAACGAAAAAAAACAGAGACAGACGCATAGATACAGAGAATATTTTGGTGGTTGCCAGATAGGAGGGAAGTTGGTGGGGATCGGTAGAGGGGGAAAGGGGTGAAGAGGTGCAAATTGGTAGTTCCAAAATAGTCATGGGGCTGTAAAGTACAGCATAGGGAATATAGTCAACAATATTGTAAGAATTGTCAGGTGGGTGCTAGATTTATCAGGGTAATCACGTCATAAGTTACATAAGTGTGTAATTACTATGTTGTACACCTGAAACTAATATTGTATGTCAACTGTAACTGTAAAATGAAAAATTAGTGAAAATAAAAATAAAATATTTAAAAGTAAAAAAATTAATTACCTATTTGTTATAATTTAAATATACTTACATTTTTCTATTTGGATAGTTTATTTAATTTTTATCATAATTATCTGTACACTATTCACATCATTATGCCTAATGATTCTAAAATGTATTTATGAATTACAATCTAAGCACATGAAATGAGTGAAAATAGCATTTAGGCAAATTGAGGTATTTGAAGAGTAAAGGAACATGAGGTTAACTTACACCTATCACTTTGGGCAGTTAATCTCTACAAATTTAATTTTCATCATCTGTAAAATGGAGATTATAATAGCACCTACATAATATGGTTTTGGGGAGCATTTATTGAGTTAAAGTGCTGAGAACACTGCACATTGCCAGTGATTGATGTGTGCTAAAATTTATTATTATTATCACATTAGCCCTTGGAGAAATTTATATGAACTGGCTTATTTGTCTATCTATGTAAATATTTAGGTTGACATAATTTTAAGGAATTGGATTTATCAACTACAGAAATAAATAGATTATGAAATGGCTTGGCCCATTTATTTAAAGCAAATGTAGCTTACTATGAGTTCATCTGTTTTATGTACATTCATGATTATATTTGTACTCAGGGCTTTTAAAGCCCAATGAAGAAAAGCATTGTGTTTGAAGTCAGAGATTTTGGGTCTGATTTCTGCCTCCAACACTAATTAGCTCCATGGACTTGGGGTCGTCTAAACCCTTACTCCTCATGTTCTTCTCCTGTGATGCATACTTTGCACATTGATTGGAAATGTTACATAAGAATATCCACATAAAACACCCAGTATTGTGAGTGTCACATCAATAGCACCAAATAAAAAGTACATGTATTATTATCATATGTTTAAATAGTTCTCAAATTAATAAATCAATCAAAACAATTTATCATATAGGATCCACTTTTCCTTACAAGTACAACTTTGAAAGCCAGAATTACTAAAATAAATGCAGTTTTTATATCAACTTTAATAACATGTATGTTTTGCAATCTCATCTTACCTCTAAACTTGACTATTCTTCCAAAGTGTGAGGAAAAAACTATAGTTATTCCTTCAACTCCACTTCCATGTTCTCTTCTTCATCCTTACTTTATTTTCTCCTGGAATTTCACTCATACTTTTGTTGGCTAACATGAATGGGTCTATGCATTTTGGGGTCAGGTGGAATAGAGTGGGGTGGGCACAGGTATATTATTAGTGTATTCCCGGCCCTCCTCTCAGCTTCCGTCAGTGTCCACGTACATAATGACACACGGTTATGTAATAACAGTACTCCCCACACCTACCATTTACTGAGCCTGCATCCTGTGCAAGTCATTGTTTTACCCACTTTACTAGTATTAGCCCTGCAAGGAATAGAGTATTGAAAATAGAAAAAAAGATTCTATGAGTTTATAAACTATGCAATGCCAGAAAACAAAGAGTATAGTCGTTTTTAGTGTTTGAGTTTTTCTTTGTGAAGAGTAACACTTAAAGCATAGTAACCAAAGATGTAGATATATCTATCTATATCTATATCTATATTTATTTATTTAAAAATTCCACATGATTTTAAATAACATCATTTAGAAGAGGGTCATGTGAAATTGTAACTATTTTATTACTAAGAAGATTGATTACATAGAGCACTAAACTATTAACTTTTATAATGAGGACTAGTTTTGTTTATTCCTTTTAGAAACTTCAGCTCTATATTTAGCTCAAAATAAAAAAACACATCACTCCGAAAGGTTTCCCATATATTTTCCTTCTGATAATGGATTGTGTAATTGTTTTAACTTACCTCTTAAAATCTTGCTTGAACCTATGCCTTCATAAATATTTAATATATCTGTATAATATAGATTAAAGGAATCGAAGCTCAGTTTAATGTACTGTCCTTGGTTTACACTAAAATAAAAGAAAAAATAGATTACTACACTTGACAATTATTACAACTCTTAATGCATTCTAGAATTTGAATGTATTTTTCTAATTGTAATAAAAAAACATAACATGAGATCAAGATTCTTAAATTTTAAGTGTAAGGTAAAATACTGGTAACTATCACAGTGTTTGTTGCATGCCAGTTCTCTAGGACTTTTTCAACGTGCATGACTGAAACCTTATACGCATTGAACAGTGACTCCCCGTTTTACCTTCCCCTGTCCCAGGCAACCACCATTCCTCTTTTTGTCTCTATGAGTTTGAATATTTTAGATGTGTCATATCTGACTAAACCTCCTTTCACTAGTTGGCCCGTTCGGATTTTCTATTCCTTCATGATTCTGTGTTGGTAGGTTGTATGTTTCTAGGATTTACCAGTTTCTTCTAGGTTATCCAATTTGCTGGTGTATAATTATTCATACTACCCTCTTATGATTCTTTAATTTTCTGTAACATCAGTTGTAATGTCTCCTCTTTCATTTCTGATTTAATTTGGTTATTTTTTCTTTTTTTCATAATCTAGCTAAATGTCTATTTTATTATTTTCAGAAAATAACTCTTAGTTTCATTAATATTGAAAATTGTTTTCCTATTTCCACTTTCATTTACTTGTGCTCTAATATTAATTATTCCTTCTGCTAACTTTGGGTTCTGTTTATTTTGCTTTTTGTAGCTTCTTGAAGTACAAAGTTAGGTTGTTCATTTGAGATTTTGTTCCTTTTTAATATAGGTATGTATTGTTATAAACTTTCCACTAAGAGCTGCTTTTTTCCCACCCCATAATTTTTAGTATGTTGTGTTTTTAAAATTTTTCATTTATCTATAGATATTTTCCAATTTTCTTTTTGATTTTTTTTCTAAGACCCACTGATTATTCAAGAGAAATTAAGAGGTTTGCGGGTATCTTTTTCAGGAGTTCGTAATCTCTTGCTCCCTCTGGTGTCTTTACGTGTCACTGCAAGTACTCTGGTTCTACAGTAGCAAGCCATCCCTTACTTATTATTCCCTTTTCTCTGAAGCCACCAGGCATTTAGTGTGCAGGCTTCTCAGCTCTCTGACTCATGGGGGACAAATAAAAGTGTCTTGGACAGCTCTTGGAACGGTTGCAATGTTGGAAGTAGGCTGCACTCCTCTCCCTCCTTCCTGAGGGAGAGAAGCCTTGAATTGCGCGCCATCTCCCAATTAGGTCAAGCCATGCCGGCCACAGCAAGTCACCACCATTCCTCTTTGTTCTCAGCACCCGTCAAGCGTCTGAACTAGGCTGATTCCATCAGTGCTCCAAATGAGGCAAACCAGTGGGCCGGCTGAGTGGCTCAGTTGGTTAAGAGTTCGCTCAAGGGTGCAAACTGTGAGCAACAGGGTTGCCAATTCAATTCCTGGCCCGAGTTGAGCTGCCACTGAGCTGCCAACAGGTGGCAGGATGGCTCAGCTTAAAACCCCAAAAAACTGAACAAATGAGGCAAACCAGAAACTAGTCCCTTGGGCATCCCTTGGAAAAGCTATCACGTTGGATGCATGCTCTATTCTTCTTTTTCCCTGTAAGTGAGAAGTGGTGAGCCAGACCAGGTGTTCTGCTGCTGCTGAGCCGTGATGGCATAGGGGAGGAGCTCACCCAAGCAAAATGAACTTGATCTGCTTGCCCATGTCAATGCGCCTGTTCTTGGTTTTGTGATCACTTGGGAGTACTGCAACTTTTTAACTGGATTTTGAATTTCTCATAAGTGTATTATCATTGTTAAATTGGTATTCAACAATGTGGGGGAACAAAAGCTAGGGCTACCTATTCTGCCATATTACTCTTGAATGTGTTTTTAATAGACATTTCAAAATAGTTTTCAGATGAATTTAAGCTCAACCATTATGCTTAAATTATAGTGTGAGATGAACAATATATTGGCAGCATAACAAAATAGAATATGTACATTATACTATCAAAAGTCAGTTTTTTAATTTGGATAACTTAATTTTTTTTTTTGGAAGTAAGACCAAAATGTCACTTAGGAAGCAGCCCAGTGTAGTGATAGATGAACATTTCCTTGCATGAAATAATTTTAAAACAAATTATTTATAATTTACATTATAGTAACTTACTGTATTTCAGTATTTACTTTAAAATCTTAATAAGTATTTATTTTTAAAACAAGCTAATTTAATAAGGACACTTTTTAAAGTGTCTGGATTTTGATCAGTTTCTGCTCCTTTATTTAGGGGGAAACCCCATATTATCCCTTTCCATTGCAATTGTTAGTTATATACTTAATTGTCTCACCTACCAGAATTTGTATGACTTAAATATGAGGTTAATTTATTCATTCTCATAGTCTCCAATACTTTTTTAGAAACTAGTACATGCTTTTTGATAGTAATAAAAAAATAACCTACATAGTTTCCAGTATAAGAGAATAGGAGGGGAAGTGTGACTGGTTCATCACAAAGTTTTAATCTGATATTTATTTATATATAGGATTTCATTTCAGATATTAAGTTTGGGGGAAAGCTGTCTAGGGCAACTTGTATTTACAACTCTTCACCGTCCCGCTGAAGTAGTAGGATCAGAAATGTGAATAATTTGAGTGTTTTGGAGGTACGACGTTCCCTTGAACTCCTCAGAAGGAAAGTGGGCTGAAAGGTAAAGCAGAGCCTGGGTGATAATGTCTAAATTGGCTAAGGATTGAAAGGGACAGATTAGTCTTCTAAGCCAAGCAAGAGATTGAGAAGTGATCTGACCTCAGACGCTGGCCGTGGAGGATGGTGAGTGAACATGGCATCCTGGCCAAGGGCATGGTAAGCTTGGTTTTGAGGTAAATTATCAGTAATACCTTGGCTCATTGGGAAATTAGGACATTCATCATAAATACAGTTAATTTTGAAACTGTAAAGGACATTGTTGGGAAATGTCAATTTGTGACAAGACCTCAGTTTTGGCAAAAACTGTATTAGAAGCCTGGTCAAAGGCTGGTGTTTAGGGATAGAGTTTAATCTTGAAGGAAAGGGGTTGACGGTACTAAAATGGCAGTAAGTATCATGGCAGGTTTAAAAGGCATCTAAGCAGAAACTCAGGTTTTTGGACCTAACCAGTATTTGCTGCAAGGGAGGTGAGGTTAGAATAATGGTGTGTTGTTGCTATAAAATTATCAACATATGGACCTCAACCCAGATACCAGGTTTAGCATTTCTGAAGTGGACTCTGGGATATATACCTACTTGTAAGTCCTCACGGAGTGACTGTGATAAACTCTTAGGTTTGAGGGCCACTGGAGAAAGACAGGTAGATGCGAGATGCCACACTCATGGGCTACTCTCAGATGCGTTTGGGAACCACAGGCAGTTGGTAGGCATAAAAGGAGATCAGCATGAGTGACAGCAGATCCTCTCAGCCTAGACTGAGAAAAGGAGACCAAGGTGGGCAGCCATTTACATAGGCTCCGCCTCTGTAAGGTCAGTGCAGGGACTGGGGGAGAAAGCCAGCTGGGGAGACTTTTAGGGACACAGCGTCCAAGCTTAAAAGGACCGAGGAGGAAGGACTGACACAGGCTTCAGGGATGATTTCTGTTCTTTTAATTAAAGTTTTGGCATCTCCAGGCAAGAGTATAGTGAGTTTTTCTTCATGTGATGTTTTCAAGGTATGAAACTAAGGGATGCAAGAGAAACTCCCTAGGAAACTTTGTGCTCAGGAGTCCAACAAGGACACACTGTTTTTTACTTTCTTCTGATTCGGAAAAGCCAATTCACTTGCAATAAAAACACAGGAAATTATAAAAGTAAGATTAATTAGAGAATGTAATAGCTGATATTTTTATAACATCAACATTATGGTTACATTCTGGTTTTTTGAAGGGAATGGGTATTTTTCTAAATTTATATATTTTACATTTTTTATCAATAGTCTTTTCATTTGCCACTTTTACTGAGCATTTAATATGGAGCTAAGCACTCTACATTCATTACTGCACTTAGTAATGACTTTGGCCCCTGTCATTAGAGATATTGAATTATATAGACATAGAAATTTAGGGTCAAAGAGATTTAGTAATTTGCCTGAGATCACACATCTTGAATCTGAAGAAGCCAGATTTGAACCAACACAGACTGTCTCCAGTGCTCACATTCTTAATATTTGGCACTCTGCTAAATGTGGTCTTAGTATAATTCCAAGGCTGGGCTGGTCTAGCCCAAAATATAGTTTAATTGCATCTTAAATATTTCTCCACTATTTAATTGAGCTTCTAAGCTTGTAGGAAACATCATTGTCCTTACTTCCAATTTGATCACCATTAGGAAAAACAAATCATCTGGTACAGTGCACTTCTAATATAGTAATCAGTTTTGAGAAGAAAAAATAATTATTTATATAATTAATTAAATCATAATTTCATCATGAAGTACAGTATTTGTTTAGGGTAATGTTTTAAATTCTGTGTTTTAAAAATTATCCCTACACTAAAGGTGGATTTCTTATAATAGTTTTTAAAATTAAGTAATGAAAAGGAAGTAAAAAGAATAGAACCATACAAATTCTTAATTAACATAGTATCATTTTTACACGTGATGTTACTATTGTAGCAAAAGTTTATTGTGTTCTGCTTATAAGCCCTGAAAATTTGACCTAGCTTTATTCAGAATTGGATGTAGCAATTAATTACTTTTATTTGGTATTAGTAAAATTTGAAAAATAGCACAAAGAAATAATTTAGGATTCATGTTTTTCATTTTCAGAGGAAGTAATTTAAAATTTTTCTAAGGCTTTCTGCTGACATTCAGAGGAAGAAATGGAATATTTTTCATTTTACTTATGAACAAGGCTAATAGCCATTTATAAATGGTGCTTTTTAATTTGATGTGATTATATTGGAAACAATATCCTCCAAATTGGTTAATTTTTAACTTGCCAAGAATTAGTTAAAACTGCCATTTTTAATACAGATTCATATCTTTGGCACAGAAGTAACATGTTATGAAAACATGAAAACAAAGGAAATTATGTTCCTAGTTATATTATATGACTTTCATGGAACTTAGCCCCCAAAAGAGAAATTATCTAAAGAAATTATCTAAAGAAAAGGATGTTCTTTATTCCCTGAATAATGCCAAATAAATGTGTTTAAAACAATCTTCCCTTCATAGCCCATCTCATCTCTGGGCTATGTCTACACAGAAAAACAACCCTTGTAAATATGGTGCCATTTCCTACCATTTATTTGGCAAGAACCTGAAGCTTTGCCTTTTAATATTCTTTAATCACCTGTTATATTGATTCGCTTAGTTTTGTAGTGAGTCATCACAATGATTAAAACTATTTTATAGTAGGTCAGACTGGGAAACCATAATCTCGTGCAGCTGTTAAAAGAAATAAAAGAACCAGAATGCCATTTCTCAAAGTAAATTTTATAGAACACTTATACTGGATGCTCATCGGGGAAAAACGTTCAGTGGCTTGATAGGAAATATGTATTTTTTGGAGATTTACACTGCATGTTAATTTAGTTAAGGCTATGAGAAGTCCTATACATTTTTAAAAGTTTAAATAAGTTTATTTCAGTATTCCTTATATTTCTTTTAGTAAAAATTATGTTTTCCTTGGAGTATCTGGGAGGAACATTAGGTAATACTGCACTGTGAAAAATACTTACGTAAACCTAAGGTAGATCAGCCATCAGCAGTTTCATCATTTTGATCATCATCATGATTGAATTTGTCAACTGAATGAAGAGCTTGAAGATTAAATATATAGCAACTGATCCAAGTGTTATGCAAGACGCAGTAAAATGGATGTATCTAGAGGGTGGCTATAAGCTCATAATATGCCATGATTAGGTCACACCACGGGAGATTTTCATACAGATACAGACAAAATGAGAAAAGAACTATTCTGCAGCCTGGATGTAGGTGATATGAAATGCCATTTCTTGTGATACACAGACATACATATGTGCTGTTTCATTTGGCAGCACTTGTGTCAACCACAGGGAAAAACATGCTACAGAGCCCAATGAGATGGCCCTATTTATTAGACAATATTGTTTATAGGACAGAATACTTTTTAAAAGGTTAAGAACAAGAGTGAAACTTCTTGGACAGGCTATCAGTTGGAAAGGCTTTGCTTCATAGCTAAGGAAAACAACAATTTTCAAAAAAAAAAGTACACCTCTAAAGGTGGTAAGACTTATTGCATCAGAGAAAGACTTTGTGACGTCAGAACAGGGAATAGAAGATGGCACATTACCGTATAATCCACTGGCAAACGACACTTGATTTAGAAGGCTTTGGATAATTGATAGCCTCAAAGGACCCCGAAGACCCGGTCAACAAAAATCTTCCATCACAAGCTGTGGCTGTGAAGAAAATGACAATTAATGTTAGACAAAAACGATCTCGGAAGGATTTCTTAAATGAAATAGGATTTGAATTGGCTAATGACAAGTTACAGATCACTCATGACTGAACCTGTATGAGGCTGTTTTACAAAACTGAATTGATAAAATGGGAGTAGGTCAGATTTTTATGCTCATTGGGTATCTTCAGATACTCTTACACACCTCATTATAGAGTCCTTCAGAAAAGCATTTTAATTCTAAACACTGATACTTTAGCTGCCTTTTTTATATTCCTTCATATATGTAAGGAAGCAAATATATCTGAATTGTAAACTTCTAATTTAGACAAATAACTACCAATTTTTTGCCCTTTTCCCCATTAAAGTGGAGCTAGGGTAAATTTCAAATATGTGTATTAAGTGCTATATCCTCCTGAAACAATCAAATATGGCCAAGCAGATGATTCGTATAATGCAAGTTACATATAGAGAACTCCATTCACTCAGTCTATTTTACCCCTTGTCAGTCTTGCCTCTTTTATGTAAACTTGCTATCTAGCTCAATATTGTCATTCAATATTTCTGAATATGTCTTGTTTCCATGACTCCTCATTTTCCTCTTTTAATTCTTGTGGCACACTGATTTCATGTACTTCTTTTCAATGTCATGTATTATTAGTCATTTTTAATTTATATCTGAATTGCTTCCAACTAGATTAAAATCACCTTGAAAGCATGAACCAGGAGCCACACCTTATAGCTTTTTATTTTATACTTGCTATGTATAGTATGTGTAAAAAAAAACACAGAAAACATTTGATTTTCACAATCTTTAGTTTTTCTTAGATTATTTTCTGCACACTTAGATACTTAGTTCTGTTGATACCATATTATAAAATAATGACTTCTAGGGCCGGCCGAATGGCTCAGTAGGTTAAGAGCAGCTCAAAAGTTTGACCTCTGAGCAACAGCGGTTGGATTCCTGACCCGAGCTGAGCAGCCGCTGAGCTGCCAACAGGTGGCAGGATGGCTCAGCTTAAAGAAAAAACAAAAACAAACAAACAAATAAGATAAAATAATGACTCCTAGAATGTGTACTTCTCTTCCCTGTAGGTTGTTAATTCCTCACATGCCAAAAGCATTGATGGAGGGTAGCCGGGGAAATCAAAGAAATTTATCAAAATTAAATTGCTACTCTTGCAATCTGAGTGCTGAATAAGCTACTCCTAAATTTATGGATGGAAAAACCCATTGTAATGTTATACAGAAACTCTGTTAAGTTATAAAATACAAACTATTATATGACATCAAATATTTTATATGGATGAAAGTAAAAATTGAAGACTTGAACGGCACATAAAAATCTTGGTAAAAATGTCATGTTTTTGGTTGACTTTTTGCAATTTTTGGTATATATATTTTTAAAAATCATAAAAACACTTTGGTAAATAAATTTTAATTTTCAATGTCTGTTTAAGAACAATGCCCTGGGAATCGATTGCATTGCATTATTTGTATTATGACTTGCTAGCCTGATTCCCAGCAGGAGACAGCAACAATAAAAAATAAAAACAAACTGAGAACAGAAAAGGTAATAACCCAAGATGTGAGGATTATACTCTGAACAATCTGTTACAGACTTCAGGAAGGGAGATAGAGAAAATTGTGGCTTGTTGAGAGAACTGAATCCCCATTTGTGCACTACTGGAGCAAACAAAGACAATTAAGACTAACTTATATGACTTGAGGATAAAGAGTAAAATAGGTGGCTTTATAATGCAGAGCTTAATAATTTTCTAGATGGAAAAGAAAATCTCCTTTCCCTTCAACTCTGACAAATCATGCCAAATAATTGAGACAATTAATCTCTTAGCTTCAGTGACCATAAAAGTAAGAATAGTGTCTTCTTGTATGTGATATATAGAGCTTTTAAATCACGGTTTGTCAAGAAATATATGGATCCAAGATTATAGTCAGTGCAAGGCAGTTCACTGCTACTGTAAATAGTTTGTATTTAATGAGGCAGAGCAATCAATCCTACCAGCCCTAAATATAACTGCTAGATTTTATAAAGTGTTTACTGTGTGCCAACCACTGTTCTACAGTCATTATATATGTATTAATGTAATCTTTCCAATAACCTTATAAAGTCATAGATAGGGAAACTGAGGCACAGAAGAGTTAAGTAACTAGCATAAATTCTCCCAGCTTATAAGTGACAATTCTCAACCAGGCAGTCTTAACTCCAGAGCACGCTGTGCCATACCGCCTAATACTACAATATAGAGAGTTATCGTGATGATATCACTTGCCCTTTGAGCTGAAAATCAGGGAGGGAATTGTATATGAAAGTCACTGGAAATTTTTTTTAAAATCCATAATTTCCAGTGTTCTTAAAATTAGAATATAGATCACACTTGCAGTAGCAGCACTCAATGAGGAGGAAGCAAAAACTGATCGAGTGAAAAAGAGAACGGAATGGGACTGAATGAAGAACTTGGAAAACCGATTTGCAAAGCTGGTACAGTTTAGTAATTGTTCGCATCCATTCACTACATACATTTTGGGAAAGGAATCGACACCTTTGTGCCTCACAACAGATTCATAATTTTCCAGACGCTGAGTTATGTCCCTGGGAGCAGAGACGGTTATACGTTTGCTGTACTATTTTTCAATCCCTTCCTAGGCACGTGACTAAACTGCACCTCCCACAGTGGGTTCACGTGACTGAGTCTGGTCAATAAACTACTGTGGAAGTGATTGTGTTTATTTCCAGATGTGATTTCTAAAAGGATCTTCTGTAATACTCTTCCCTTGTTTGTCAGCAGTCTGCAAAGGATCCCGGGGAGGACTGGGGACAGAGGGATGGTGGAGGACCTGGCATCCCGAATGCTTACAAAGCACTGCAGCCCTTTGTCATCATTCTTGGACTGTGAAGTAAGTGATAAGCTGCTATTGTCTTAAATTGCTAAGATTGTTTATCACAGTATTTAGCCTGTGCTAAAGAACATGATGAATTTGACTAATCAGTTTTCTATGAAGTTACTGAGTTTTAGTAGGACTGGATCATCTAAAGGTCAAATTCTTCTTTAAAGGGCCTCTGATGAATTTCTGCATGCAAGTAAATATTAAGAAGACTATTCCTGAAGGTATTTAAAATCAAATTCCAATAGGATTGAACTACTTGTAATAGCAAAGTTCAGAATGCCAAAATATTATTTCAAGGTACAGGTTTGTGTTAGGGACTCTCTCATGTATTGTCTCGGTTAATTTCAGGATGTTTCAGGAGAACCCAACTTTACATAAGAGAATGAAACAGGATAACTTTTCGGAAAAAAAGATATAACGGAGCCTTGTCTGAGTAGGATTACTGGGTGTTCAGGGTTGTAACATTTTAGACTACAAAGTGCTTTCCAGTGGAGTATCAGACAAAAGTCTGAGTGGGAGATAAATGAAACTGTCAAATGATGCCAGCTGTTCTATTGCCCTATCCAAAATGTTGCCTGGAATAGGATGGGATTTATAAGGGTGTGATCTTAAAATCCACTGAGCGCTCCCTCTGCTGGCTCAGTACTTACTAATTGAGTGTTTGCTCAGGGCACTGAATTTTCCAGGATACACAAATCCCACTTTGGTGGATGTTATCCATGTCCAGCCACCCAGGTTTGTTGTGTCCATACGTAGAGGCTTGCAGACCATCTGTGAAGACACTTGCCAACCTCCAAAGAAGCCTGAACATTGGCCTAAAGGCTAAGGGTCAGCATCTTTCCTTCTCACAGGTCAGCGAAAAAGTGAACTTTCCTGCTGATGCAATTCTAATCAGAAGAGAAAAACAATTTAAAGAAATTTTGGTTCAGCTATAGTCAGCTCTAAGTTGTGCAAACCTAAATAACTGAAGAGGAAGCTGTGTAAGGAAGTCAACATTAATGTGACTATTAATAACACAAACTAGAATTAGAGCTCACAGCTGGAGAAAAAAAAGAAATCTAGAGCGAGCATAGGTCAACTTCATATAGAAAGAATTCTCTTAAATTAATTTTGCTGTCATTGTAGATTGATGGACAAGGGTTTTCATGTAGAAATCATGCTACTAGAGTTGGTGCTGAGGTGAAATCACTGGTTAAATGATAAATAAAACAACTTATATGCCTGAATCATAGGTGGATAAATATAAATTGATTGATTTGTCCGCTTCCTTATTCCACAAATTCTTTGTATTTATTTTCCAAAATAGATGCAATGCTAATTTTAAAATGCAGGTAATGAAGAGAATCAAGAAAAATATAAAGTGGGGATCTAGGGGATTAAGAAAGTTAGTGACATGGATGGCAAGTTGATACTAAAGTTCAATTAACAAAACTCCAAGATACTGAAAAGTAATGATGCGTTTTGATTGTTCTTAATGGTAATTTAGGGAATTAATTCAGTTCTAATACTGAGGCTCATGTCTTGAGTTTATAGTGGCTCAGAAAAATAGCTCATGGCCTTGTAACTTATTTTAGGACAAGTTTGTCATACTTACAAGATATGTCAATGATTATTTTTTGATATGCACTGATATGAATTTATCATGAAAATTATTAACTCCATGACAGTCAAGACCAAATTACTGGTATGGTTAATTTTCTGATTCTTCAATTCACTTTATACATTTCCCCCCATTTAAAGTTATCAGTCATCATGACTCAGGCTTAAATCTACGTGTCTCACTTTGGCAGACATTATTATTTTTGAAATCTAAATCCACATCACCTGTATTACCTCATGATGGCACACTTGTATCATATTCTCCCTGAAAAGGTTTTGGAAACTGCCTGAAAACCATAACAAAAAGAGGTTTTCTTTCTTCTTCTTCAAGTAACTTCATTATATAAAATAGATTAAAAAATATTCTGTAGCCTGCACTTTCTTCCAATATGCTCTGAGCACACTTCAAAGTACGTAGTTAAACTTTGAAGGTTTGAATTTTATCCAGGAACATCTGACTTGGGATTTCTTAGTAGAAGCCTATTTAGTCAAGTTTTATTTTTTTTTTAATGTTTACCATTTTATTATATAATAAAGGATACAGGTGAACAGTCTGGACAGGGCAAGCTCTGGGAGGGCGCTGAGCTCAGGAGCTTCTGTCCCCATGGAGTGGGAGTGTCATCCTCCGAGTTATGTGGCTGTGTATGTACACTAGCCCAGAAGCTCTCAGAAACCCATACTGCCTTCTTTTCAGTTGGTGCTGGGAAACAGACTGTCTGTCTTTTAAAGTATGTGTCAGGCGGATAGGTAATTTTTAACACTTTAGCTGTTAGTGGAGGTTCATCTTCAATTAATACCAAGCATGAAGAGCACAGTGAAGAAAATAATAGAAGAGCAAAGTGTGTGTAGCCAACAGTGACCACAGCCTTTACACATTCCAGGAACTGATGTGTTAAAACTGATCATAAACCACACCAAAAATTATTTCTTTCATGCTTCCTGTTTAATTTTTCAAGAACAAATTATAGGTTAGAATTATTCAAATAGTTCTTCACCTTGCTTATCAAACTATATTTATACTTATGTGATAATCTTTCAGATCTATGTAACACAGCTATGAAATAAAGAAATAAGCCAGAGTAAATATGTTTAGATCACTTAGAGCCATGCTTGGCATATAGTAAGTAGTATTTAAGCACTAATTAATAATAACATCCAAAACAGATGCCAAAATTTACAAATAAACACACATGTTTTATTCATGAGACTTCAAGATCTTATTCAAAACTGGTTTCCATTATTCACAGAACTACAACTCAGGTACACTTTTTGTCTATTTGTTGTTCATATGCCAAAAGACAAATGAAAGCAACAATCAAGATTAAGGAGTGGCAATTACTGAGTTAGGGGCCATTAAAATAGAAAAAAAAAGACTGATACTAAGATATGATGATGAAAAAGCATTCAAATTCACAATAAATAGTTTAATAAGGGATAAAAAAGAATGAGATTCTCTTCCCCCACTCACGACAGGCATTGCTATCTACAAAAATCCTTTCCATAATCATCAAATGAAATTCTGTTTAATAGTTTTAATATTATGTAATATTATGTTTGGGAAAATATTAACTTAATTTTTTTTACATTTTGAATTAAATTATAATCATGAGCATTAGGATAGCTTATTCTTCAGTAGTTTCTGGTATCTGTGTGTGTGTGTGTGTATGTGTGTGTTTGTATGTGTGTTTTTATGTATGTGGGTATGTATGTTTGTGTGCACAGTGAAGGCCTGTGTATATGTACATTATATACATGATCTATGGTCTGTTATCTATGTATATACATGTTTTTGTATGTATATACATACATAGTTTGTATATACACATGACCCATGTATATATACATGGTTTATGTATTTTTACATGGTCTATGTAAAGTAAGGAGGAAGAGAGTAGGGAGGGGACATTACTTACCACAAGTTTTATTGTCTTCATCAGAACCATCTGGACAGTTTAGCTCTCCATCACAAAATAAATCAATTGCTATACATTTTGTAGCATCAGCACAAGACCTTGAACCAGGCAGGCACTCTCTTGAGACTATTAGGAAAAAAGATTGAATTTGTAACTTAACTGCCTAGTAGATTTAATTCTTACCATATGTACAAATTTGGGATATTTATTATGTATATTTTGTCATTTCGGTTCTTGTAAGATATATTTCAATTTCTAATAGAAATATTTATTTCATTGAATGAATTAAATATTTGTAAAAATTTAGAATTTTACAATGTAAAATAATTATCTTCATAGATGTAAAATATGAATATTTACTTTGTTGATTTTACCCTTGATTTATCAATAACTACAGTATGTACATTTGGCCCCTATTGTTTACACCTCCCAGGATTGTTACATATGTTATATGAGGCAATTTATTGAAATGTTTTTCACATCGTAAACCACACCAAAAATTTATTTCATGCTTCAGTTTAATTTTTCAAGAACAGTATCTGCAATATCTAGTAACCACTTCATTTACTTATAAACATGTTATTTAAAAATGTAGTAGCTGAAGTAAAGGTTTGCATTCTGCAGAGCAAAATGTGTCAACAAAAGCCATTTACAGTACAGTAAAACACTTAAAATTCCCAGTGCATTGCTACATTGAGCAGTGGAAAAACCCAGTGGCTATTTCGTTCAATATTTCTTTGCTTCTTGGGTCAGAGGTTCTTGCAAACACGCCTCTGAAGAGTTCTATTCCATACTATTGCCAAAATTTGATAAATTTTCTCCTCTTAGCCTGTCCGATCCTGTACCCACTCCTCTTCTGCATACCTAAGTATAGAGATGCACCTGGAAACACATTACTTCTAGAAATTAACTTGGAAATTTTAAGTGCAACTCTAAAAATAACATATTGTTATATGCTCAGTAGGTAAAGACATATTTGTTTGTTTGTTTTTTCAGAGCAATTTGAGAATTTGAATTTTTGTCTATGGCTAGAATAACAATGATGCTTTGAAGTTTTTGAAAAATCTTTAAGATCAATAACATTTTTTTGTTATTGTTATTGTTCTTAACCTTAAAACCAGCACTGCACTGCCATCTGCTGGGTTTTAAAAACATTTTATTCTGAAATTTCTCCTAATGCTCCATGAAATTAATTAGGAAAATAAAAGTCTTGTGTCAATAAATCTACAAAGGTAATACTTAATTAGGAACATTTATGGACAGGGTTACTGAGTATATATACAACTAAATTAGACTTCTGTGATTAGTTCCAATTAAGAAGGTTATAAACCAGTAGGAAATTCATGGATCACCTAACATCTAAAATAGAACAGGATGCAGATCAGAGCCATTCCCAAATGATATAATACCCCCTTTAAGAGAATAAAAAAAGAATGATGAAAATGGTATTGAATAAAGCCAAATGCATATTATAACTGTTGATAATCAAGAGAGTCCCTGGGCCGGCTGAGTGGCTCAGTTGGTTAAGAGCTCGCTCAAGAGTTTGAGCTCTGAGCAACAGTGGTTCGGGTCAGCCCGAGCTGAGCAGCCGCGGAGCTGCCAACAGGTGGCGGGATGGCTCAGCTAAAAAAAAAAAAAAAAAAAAAAGAGAGTCCCTAATCATCAAGTCCAATCCATGAATGGCATAGTGTCAATAGTATTCCATAAATGCTTTCTAAAAAAATAAACAACAAAAAAGCTTTATTATAGCGACTCTATGTCTCATTTTAAGAGTAGTTAATAGAATTCTAAGTATTTAGTATTTGAAAGAATAGATTTGGGGATATAGCTAGGAAGACGTATACTTCCCATTTCACTTCCTTATGCTTCACATCTCTGTTGCCTATTAAACACTATAGCTCCAACCTCAAAACCACATTGGTAAGTGACACTACTTTGATCTCATTCACGATCATTCATTGACTCCCTTCATTTATTGTCTATTTATTTGTCACACATTTTTAAGGGATGGAAGTAAAAGGATAAGTAAGATACAGTCTCTATTCTCATGGAGCTTGGAGTTGTTAAGTCGGAGACTGGATCGTTAACTAATTAATTTTTTAAAAGAGATATAAAAGTATAAAAGCAATGCTGTGGAAATACCAAAGGTTAGGCAATTAGTTCCTTTTGAGGCAGAGATTGAAAACATCTTCACATACACTAGGCTTTGAAGGATGCCTAGAAATGTACCAGACAGAGAGGTATGTAGAATGTACACATGATGATGTGACAAGAGTACATTAATATACAGAAAACAGACGACTCTAACTTTTTTGGATGGTAAGATGTTTGTGAAAGTCGTGGAGGAAGGGCAGTTGGGTGCCAAATTCTAGAGGAATTTTTTTTATCTTTGCAAAATGTTAGAAATCCATTTCTATAGGCAACAGAATTGAAAGTTTTTATTTATGTATGTGATATGACCAGTCCATGTTTCATTAACACAATTCTGGCACCAAACCAAGAATCATATGGAGAAAGGAGACAAATTAAGAGGCTGTTTCAATGGTCAAGGTGAAAGTTGATGAGGGTTGGAACTCTTGAACTAGTAGAGGAGATGAGGCATGAACTCAGTTGCTATTTTACAAGTAAAATTGGTGAGTTTTAGTGGCCAGATGTGATCCTGACCAAAGGGAGGCTGAGAAGGGGGTGCTGAAAATGATACCTACACTTTTGGAGTGGCCAGTTAAATTAGTAATGGTGTTTAGTTACAATAGTGAATATAAGAGGAACAGCTGTGGGATTAGCAAACGACTCTAGTTCGAAGTATTTTGATTTAAAAGTGGAAATAATAGGTACTCTAGTTTATGTTGTGTTCTCTATCTCTCCAGACTATTTCATAAACACTTTTCAGCTCACTTGGTCAATGAAGAAAGGAAAGTTCCTCATATTGAAACCAATATGTAAAATATAAACATAATTGTTATACAAGGGTAGTATAGTACATTTTAGGGTTTTATCAGATTGTGTTTTTACCTAGTTTTCTGTGTCTCTCTTCTTACATACATATGTATGGTGACAATTTCCAACAAAACCATTGACTAAAACATTAACTGTTACAGAAGTTAGCCAGATGCCAGGTTTTATTTGTTTGTTTTTATTTTTAAAATGAACTTCTTAAAACTAGAGTTCTTTGACTTGTGGACTACTTTATTTGCCATTTCATTCCTTAATTTTTGCTCTGGTCTTTCTCCATTTCTAAGTCTATATTGTACTTCTCAGAAGGGAATTTTCAGGAAGGGAATTAAGTAATTGTATTTAAAGAAAACACTAATTGGTCTGTTCATTAGAAGCAATCAAATTGCCTGAACAGCAGTTATGATTATCTTGAGTAGGAAAAAGACCTACACATGTTTTTACATCTACATGGAATTTTATCTTCAGGATATTAATTTTCTGGCATATTATGAAAACCCACCAGTAAATTAGTTTTATTTGGAATTCTGTAAATGCAAGGTTCTAATTATCCACTTATATCTGTATCATGAAGGATTCAATATAAAGTCAATGTGATTACTTCAGCATGTTCTAAAGTCACAACCAGGTCCAGTGATTTGGGGGAGGGTCGTCTTACGCCCACTTGGGCAAGCCCTGTGCTAGGCGCTGAGGAGGATGAAAAAACTGAAATCCATGTTTCTTCTTCCTAACCAGTCATAAGAAGTGTTACATGCAAGAAAATAATTTGAAAATCATATTTTGGAAAGCTTAGATTTTTATTTTCCTTATTATTTAAATGAAGGTACTAATGCTTTGTGGCCAAAGCTGTTTGAGACAAATTAAGCCCAAGAGCCTTACAGTTTTCTTAGGAGTAGAATAGAATCTGAATCCAAGAATGCCTGCCTTTAGAGACCAAGTTTATTTCACTACATTGTATTGGAAAAATAGATATCACCTTACAGAAATTCTCATTTACTTTAATAGAAGAAATTAAATCTTTTTAATAAGACCATGGCTGGTCAATCCAAATGAAATGACCATGGAAAGACACTTTAACAGTTCTGATACCATGTGCATAGGAACATCTTACATTAGAGGAGAATGCTTAGCAATGTAGACATGTTGCTCTCAAATGCAGAGAAAGAAAAACACTTAAACCAAATGCATTTGGTATCAGATAAAGTCCCTGTGTTACAGTCCTGGGGCAAGTCAATTGATGAACAGAATTCTCCCCTAGCTTCTCTCGACCCAATTTCATGTTCTTCATTCACTAAATCAGACAATTCTTTTTCTTCTATCCCCGAAACCACTCCACATAGTGAAATTGTAGCAAGATAGTATTTTGTATGAGATTAGAAAGCCCATGATAGTGAAGCGTTTGTTTTTCTGCAGTCATTGCCTACACAGTAAGCAACAAAAGACTGGAACAAGCTGTGTGCTACAAAGCTTCAAGCATTTGAACAATTGCCCAGAACACCCCTCCAGGTGCTCTTTAGCAGCCAAGAAATCAATCAGTGTAATGGAACCTTAGTTCTCATGTCTCTCCTCTAGTGTTCCAAATGGGTTACTAAAACTTTACGGTAATTGGCAACAAAGGCAGTTGAACAGTAGAACATAAATCCTCATGGACTTTGTACCCGCTATCATACAACAATTTTCTTTGGCAGAATTTATAATAGTATTAATGCCAGGTATATGATGCATGCATTTGTTGATTTTTCTCAAGCTCCGTCTTCCAGGCATATAAAAATGAGAATAAACTTAACATCCTTGAAAAGCACATTCATAATAAATTATGGCTTGGAAACTGCAGTTTTCAAGTTTAATTGCCTTGTTCCCCTCTATAAATCCATAGTATCTTGCCAGAAGAGAGGAATAAATGGGAAGGATGACTTGGGGACTCATGGATCCAGTGAAAGAGGGAATACGATGTTTTGCCACCTACTTACCTTATTATAATTCTTTGAGGATTGATTAAAGTAATCTAATACAGTCTCCAATAACAGGAAGCTTCAGAAATGGAGTTTTTGGTCAAATAAATGACTAGATTAAAATGAGCAATAATGGGTACAAGCATCTTGCTTCAACCTTAGTTTAGTTTTTGAAAAATCTTTTTTTTAAAAAAAATCTGCAACTACTTTTCTTTTCCTAAGTTAGAAGGGGGAAGGGAGATGGGACTCTAACATTGGTCATGTCCCTACTTTGTGTGTCAGGAAATGAGTCAGTACAGTACTATCTGTATTATAATATCTCTCTTAATTCTCATGACCAGTCTCTGGGATATATATTTTGATCTTTAGTTTTCAGACAATAAATGTAAAGTTTTAAAAGACTGTATAGCCTGCCAAACACTATATATATAGAGAGTAACTGGTGTAATTAGTTAATGGTGGGTTCATCATGCCTTTTCTTTCTTTCTTTCTTTTTTTTAAAGATTTTATTAGGGAATGGGGGGAGGTGAAAACAGACAAGTTGCTGTCCTTTTGTTCTTCTGTCTAGTTGTGGAGGACTTCGCTTCACTGGCCCATGTTGGTATTATTGCGCTCTTCCCGGGTGAGGGAGTCGCTCCCCGGCCTCTGGACGGCCGCTTATGGTGGCTCACGGCCGCTCATGCTGGCCACTCATGCTGGCTGCCAGCCACACATGGTAGCTTATGGCAGCCCAATGCAGCAGGGGCTGCAGCCTACACCATTGCTGGCGACTCATGACGGCCCAGCTCCAGTTTGAGCTGTTGTTCACCATCTTAGCTGTAGAGGGTGCAGCAGTCACTGGCCCTCATGTGGGATCCGAACCAGGGCCCTGCTGCTCAGAGCTGGCATCCCAAACCAACTCCTATCCAATGCGCCACTCTGCTGGCCTGATCATGCTGTTTCAATGACTGAGAATTGTGTTACTTTTTGGTTTTCAATTTGAAAATCAAATGCTTAACTAAAGTGTGAAAGATAAGACTAAATGTATACTGATCCCATTCCTATAGTTTACATGTAATAAAGGAGATTTCTGCTACACTCCCAGGAGAGAAAAGTATGGCAGGAGTATTACCCTATGTTCTCTGTCCCCCTTTCACCTTCTCCTTTGGCCAGAAGAAATTGGGCATATGGTTCAGCCACTTCTTATATTTTTGATGGGTATGTCTTCAGGATAGTAAGGGGAAAAAAACTTGTTTTAAGTCCAAGGATTTCTTGCTTTAACATTGGTATCCCCCTGCCCCCAAGTCATTCCATATATTTCTCTTAGAACATTTTATATACCTAAAAGCTCCTTGATAACTCGGTTATATGAATCACTCAATGAATCAATAAACAGACAAATAGAAAACAGGGCACTAATTTGGATATTTGTTGCTGACTTTCAAAGTTTTAGAAATAAATTTAAATGATTTTACTTTTAGACTAAACAAATTAACCATTGTCAATGCTAAAAGCATTTTTTGAAAATGTGTTGAAAGGTGATTTTAGATGCCATAGTCTTCCACATTGGAGAAAGGATTATAGGCTGAAGAACAGTTTTATTTTTCAATATGTTGTGCTGTTATATGGATAACACCTAAATACAACACCAAGCAGGCTTAGTCCATCATAAAAGACCTCTGTGGGTTTGGAGGTGTGATGGTTTGTTTCATAAAGCATTTTAATGATTCGTGTATCACTTTGCTTTTCAAACATCACACCAGCCATTTTAACCAAGAATTATTCAGTCTTACTCAGAGGGTATTTATAGTTTCACAAATATCTTCTCTTTGTATGTGTAACATTTTATATACATTTTAATAACACAAAAATGGTGATATTACTTTAAGAGTTGAAGATCTATGGAATATTGCCTGTACAGAGTTTACCTGAAGAGATTAGGGACACATGTAGGCCATTCAAGATGAAGATTAAGTTAGGACTCGAGAAGGCACTTTAGTTAACTGGCAGATACACAAAACCATGGTAGATAATTACTAGGCATCCAGATAAATTGTCACATCAAAGATACACACCAGGAGTTGGCACAAAGTAGGCACTTAATGAAAAATTGCTGAAGGAATGAATCCAAGGCCACTTTTGGTACTGGTTTGGCACGAGCACAGATGTTTAGATGTGTAAAAAGAAAGAAAATCTCATTTAAGATGGAGTCAGAAAGCCATGAAGGGGGAGCTCTCACACAGTGGTTACTCACTATTCCTTGCAGACTATCGCAGGAGGAAGAAAGATTTTCTCCTTGTCTAGCAACAGGCCTAGTCAATGATAAACCATCATGACTCAGCCAATGGGAAGCCAATCCACTTCAAACTCCTAGTTTCTTGCAATGGACATCTTGTTTTTATCAGCTCCTGGCAACTCCCACTTTTTCTCTACAAAATGACATTCTCTTGGTTTTGCCATAGCTTGTGTGTCCCAAATTGCAATTCCTCTGGCAATTCCTGAGTAAACCCATTTTGTGTAAAATAACTGGCTGTTTTATTTTTAAAGTTCACAGAGTAGAGAGGAAGCATATCTAACTTACATACAGAGAGAATAATCAAAGGAAAGAATAAAAATCTCTCACATCTGATGAAACCTACGTTTTGATCCCATTGGTGGCATTATTAGCCATAGGTAATAACTGTGGTTCTAATAGAAGACTCAGTGGGGTCAGATAATCCAGGCATTAACCCAAAATATATTGCTAACTTTTGGTGAAATGTTAGGCTCAAACTACAAACATTTATGCTCTAGTTTTCTTATCTATAAAGCAGGGGTAATGTTAACTGCTGTGTTATCAGAGAATTCTCAGGAGCCTAAAAGGAAACATTAGTGAAAATATTTTTAAATTGAGAAAAAAAATATTATAAAAACTGACGTGTGGTTTTTAGAGGACTGCTGGTTGTTGGCTTGTCTGTAAAAGTAAATGACATTAAAATAACTATTACATTTTAAACTGATTATTAGGAATTGATTATATATTCTTTCTGTTTAATATTTAACTTGACAGTTTTAAAGTTACTGTGAATTATTAGTATCTGTTAACTTAAGAATATATCATTTGTATCTGGATCTAAGAAATAATCTTTTATGTTTTCATTGATCTTTAGAATTGTAGAGCTGAGGTTTTTAGGTTTTTTAGGTCGTCTTTTATTTTGTAAGTAAAAGATGATGTTTTAAAATTACCAATAATAACCGAACATAGGATTCATTAATTTTATAATGGCTGTAAACTTAAATGTTCTAGGTTAATTAGATGTTATTTGAAATACAAGCTTGGGGTATGCTTAGACCATGGGCTTTGGAGTCCAAAGGAATTGCTTTTAATTTTGAGTTTGACACTTACTAGCTGTGTGAATCCTTTAAAGTGGAAAAAATATTATCTCTCCATAGGATTATTCTTAGAATTAAATGAAGTTATATTTGTAAAATATAGTGCCTGGACCAAGTAGACACTTAAAAAAAAAATAGAGCTTCCAAGTATTATAAAGTGGTCATGATTATAGAGAGTACCAAAAGTTATAACTTTATGGTTTTAAAACAGTGTTTCACTTTAAAAATCATTTATATAAAAATTTGATATTTGGAATGACTTCTGAAAAATACAGAAAAAATTATTATTCATGATTTATGGGTAGCATATTTTCAGAGGGGTAAAGATGTATGCTCCGTGATTCTGGTAGTGGGCAGAACTGGGTTAATGTTCATGTTTTGACTTCAATTTAAATAATTTCTACAACAGAACAATTTTATGTTTTAAGAAAATTCTGTCAATTCTAAAATTATTGATAATTTGCCAAAACAAGCTTTTTTGTTAGTGGTGTGATTTTGATAAAACAAAGTGATGTTCTAAATATAAATAGCAATAGTGATCAACTGTAATTAGAAAGATGCAGTGAAGAAAATGCTGGAATAGACCAAAGTTAACATTAAGTTTTAGATTCTCCTTTCCAAGAGAGTGCAATACATTTTGAAAGTTTCTTTCTCTCATTCCTAGTAACCTTACAAATATTATGGCTCATCTCTAAGACTCTCATTTGGGGGTCATACACACACACACTCACACACTCACACACACACACACACTCATACACTCATACACACACTCACACACACACACAAACTCACACCCATACATGTATACACATGTATATAGAGTTTAAAATATGAAATTGGAAATGCATATCCTTGGCAGTTATAACTAGACATTATGAACTCTGCAATATTCTGAACTACATTATTCTGAACCAAATGTATGCTTTTTACATTTTAATAAAAAGACTAAATGTCTCAAAAAGAGCTACTAAAGAAAAATAAATCCTTCCCCAATGTCATGGAGTTTGATGGTCACCAAGTTCGTTTTTAAAATGCCAAGTTAGTTTTCACTGACCTGAAGTTGTTGAAGGGCTTGCTGTAGAGGGATTCTCCAAAGGTGCTATAATAAAGTAAAGTTGAGTTAAAGCTTGGACTCAAAATATGCATATATGGCAAAACAGTGAGTACAGTTCAAATATTCAAAGGACATGTGATCCTTTAGTTTCTGTCTCATCCTATCTCATGCTAAATATTCCTGTTATTATTTAATTGTGACACATCTGATGAATTCCCAGAATCTGTATATTCTCTCTGTAAAATTTACCTATGCAAAAGGTTTGCTTTATTTTACCTATTTAACAAAAATATCTATTCATCATAGTTATATAGAATAATTTATATTTAAGACACCAAATATAACATTACATACCAGATCTTGTCATACCTAGAACAAATGGTGTTTCACTGAAACACATGAAATATATCAAGATAACCTTGCCCCTAATAATATCTGCTGGGAATAAGTGCTGTCTTAGTATAAAGTGCTTTTCATATTTAAAAAACTAGCTATTGTCTTCACCCTTTAACATGTTTCCTAGTTTTAAAAATATATGTATTTTTTGTATGACAACATTATGACAACTATGTAAGATATAAAAGAAACCAAAACATATCTTATGAAAAACCTTCATCTAGTGAATGTTTTTATTCAAAACTGTATGGTAAGTGGGTTAAGAGGTTTGTTACATTATTTCTTCATTTCTGCATTGTCTAGTTTCTTCAATATCTATAGCAGTTTCATAAATGATATATAGTAGATTATTGATAAATAAGATAACAAGGTTTATACTATTTTCTCGTAAATAAGATAACATTTTAATTTGTATTATGTTTGATTATGCAGTATATTACATAAAAATCCAAGGAATTTATACAATTCTCAACCAATTTTAAAATGTAATAAATTTGAAAATTCACATGATACAAGTGAACATTAAACTTAAATACCTAAAGTTAAGCTTGGTATCATGTTTACAAGTATAAATATGTTTAAACATAGTTCATCAAATTAAATATAACTACAAGTTGTGGAGCATATTCTTGAGTTTATGTTATATAGTTGAGTGCATTCAAGGTACTTATTCTAAGTTAACTCATAAGATTTTATTTAATAAATACATATTTTTAAAACCACAAACTTTTCAAACTTCTAAAATAACCCAAATGTAGGGAGTCATGAAAATAAATTTTTAGCACACTTGTCATTTCATTTGCCATAACAGACCTCCAGAAAATGATACACATTCAAATGAAGATAGCAAGAAGTCAACTTTCTAGAAGAAAACTGACTATTGGAAGGAAAATATCAATCAACTTTGCCCAAAGATAAACCCCTTATAAACAAACTCTAGTTTGTTAAGAGGACAGACCTTAGGGTCTGACCACCTGGGTCAGAAACCTTGATCCAACCCTAGATAGCTGTGTGATTTAAGGTAATTTACCCAAATTATCTGTGTGTTGGTCTTCTCATTTACAAATTAGGGGAGTAAAGACACCTTGTATGTAATAGGATCAATACGAGGAGTAAATGTGTTGCTAGGTAAGGCATCTCTTCTAGCTAATAATAGCAGTAGTTTTCAGGCCAAAGAATCAGAGAAAGATCCAAGACAGTCGGCTCCAGCAGCTGTGCCAGAGAGTTCCAAGCCATTGTAGAGGAGGCACTAAGAACATTAGCTGTCTTCTCTTCTCTTTGAACAAGGCACCACAGGATATAGCAGGGGACTTCATGAAAGAGGAAACTGTGTTTGATGAACAATGTTGCAAAGAAAAGCAACCAGAGGTCCACAGTTTCATATCTACTATTACAAAACCGAAAAATAAAACCAAACAAAAACATCTGCATGTTTTTATATATTTGATTTAGAGCAGACACATAATTGACTGATCTCATTCTGTAACAAAACTGTTTGAACTGACATTAGGCTATTTGGAGCTTGCCTTCGCTTGTTGTGGATGTTTGTATGTTGACTAGCTTTCTAGCTTCCCCAAATTTCTGAATTTCAAAACGTAATTGGTCCCAAGGTTTACACAGAAGAGATTGTGGACCTGGACAGTTATCATTGTTCAATATGCACACCAACCAACACAAGCGCACAGGGTAAATGTTTGTTGTCTTGAATGGACGATAACTAGAACTGAACATTTAGAATAATCGAAGCATTGGTAGGCATATGCTATTATTTTTGATGCCCTATACCTTTTCATTTTTGATTTACTTTTATCTTTAAATTATTGATCATTTTAAAAATAAAGTTTTCTTTGTATCATTAAGTAACCAGGATGAATCAAGTTCATTGACCCCTCTTTTTAGTTCTAAATTAGAGACTGGACTTGCCACTTGACTTTGTAATCTAATAATGTTCGTGACTCAGAGAGTAATGCATGTCACTTTCTGATTGTGGGTTTCTGGAAAGTCAGGATGTGCTGGACCAGTGCCAAGAATGTGATAAGACCCACAAATGTTTGTACGTGCCCATATTTTCAGAACCTTTTTGATATTTTTTAAACTTTTCCTCACTATTTCTTCAAATATGGTTTCTCTGTATTTCATGTTTCTCAGATAAATGTGTTACCTCAGGCAGTAAGACATGTTTCTGAATTCAAGGGTGATCCTACTGCTTCCCTGGTATATAGCTAGCATTTTAATTTCATAGCTTAATGATTCAAAGAAATCAAATAATGTTCACAGATACCTGTGATATCGATGCTGTTCAAATCAATATGGAAAGTGACCAGTTGGCTGGATTTATTTGCTTCAATGCCTTGAATCAGCTCTTCTTTTACATTTTCATTTGGTACCCACTGGGCAAAGAAAAGGTCAAATATGACTATAACGCTGCCATTTCTGCAAAGCAAAAGATGATATAGGAGGAAAAAGTCAGCCTTCTTCAAATGACTTGTGCTCAATTCATGTCAGATGTCTTTGAAATTCTTTACAGTCACCACCTTGTTAATCCTCATTACACCTGCGCGAGGTAGGTTATGTCAAACGTTATCTTGATTTCACAGGTGGAAGAAAAATGAATTAAAAGACTAAATATTTTTCCAAGAACACAAAGACAGGTCCAGAATTGGAATCTGAGTTTTCTGAGTTCTACATTAGCGCACAAATTCCCAGGGCCAGGCTGTTTCCCAGAATCACTTGTGTCAAATTAAATCAAATCACGAGGTGTCATGACCTTTGTTCTTATTTTACTGTTAGAAGAAATAAAGAGTATGGATTTGTGATTTTTCACAGATAATTTCTAAGTAGAGGAAAGCCTAAGGTAGTTTCACTGATTTCAGAAAAAAATTTTCTATATAGTTTATAAAGGCCTGATAGCAAGCTTATAGCAATTAATCTATATCTACTTTTTCTTCTCTATTCTTAATATAAAATATCTAAATATGCTCTGAATTTAAGGGATAGAAAGAAGAAAAGCATACCTGAGTTATTGGGGATTTATGGGATATTCATTCTCATTGTCAAGGGTTGGCGTTATCTTGCCTACATCATCTCAGACTGTAAGATTGCACATAGTTCAATAATATGGTCCAAGTTATCTTCGCTTTTATTCCCTGCTCTGCAGCATGCATTTAAAAAGTTCAGTTCCCTGGTGATTTGTTTACAGTTTAAAGAAACAGAAAAATAGATAAGATTTTGTCTCAGCAGGGATACTCGAGAGAGTTTTGGTCTCCTGCCTACGTTTCTATTTCTTTCATCACATGCTTTCAGGATACGACTACTTGGGAGCTCTGATATTGATTCTGTAGTCCTCAGTAAACTGGCGTACTCATGCTGTATACTTGGATTCTTAAAAGGCAGACTAGGGAGAACCAAATTTTGCATGGTATGTTTGCTGGTTCCAAAATTTAGGTAGTGACACTCATATCCTTGTGATATCTATATGTTATTGAGCTTTTTGAAGGATTTCACCAACTTTAAAAGAGTTCTTTGTATATCTGTCCACATATCTATCTTGATAAAATTTAGAACAAATGTTGCTTTTTTTTCCTCCCTGACTATATAAAGGATCAAAATGTTCCTGAAAGATCATAGTAGATCAGCATATACTGTATATGTTAATATATTCCTTCTTAATGTCTGGCTATTATTCAGGTTCACAGTTTAGCAGAAATGATTCCTTTCTATGTAGTTGGTTTTTCATTTTTGAAGTAAACAGGATGCTCTGATACAATAATTCTATATTTCACCTCTATTAAATAAATTATTTAAAAACGTTAGAATGTTTAACTTTCCAATCACTGATTAAATCATAGTAACCAAATCTTGTAAATGACTAAGCTCCTTAGTAACTCTTTAGTTCAGGATTCCCCAACTATACCCATATGCGGAATCATATGCTGTCCTTGATACAGACACATTTTGTCATAGACACTGTTTTTATCTATTCGTCCACACGTGTTCATTTTTCCACTGGCCATGCTGGCCAATCCTTAATTTTATTTGAGAATAACTCTCTATTTTCTTACAAAAGGTGATGGCTTCTCCAACCATCGCTCATGTCAATGACAGTTTTATTCATGGGTTTATGACCAGGCCCTGGTCAATGGACGATGAGGAGACAATTATGGGAAACTCCTGGAAAAATTTCCATTATCCGATAAAATAATGGGTCATACTGGACTACTTACTACTCTTATTTTTTGAACATTATTATGTCTATATGTTATTGCTGGAATTGCTACATCTATCTTCGTACCATGAGGCAAGCTATGGCTGACAGGCTAAATTGAGCATAATGAAGGAAGGATTACATTTAAATTATTATGTCACTGTTATTATATGACTAAACTAACCTCTGGTGAAACCTCCAGGTTTATTGTGATGTCAGATGATAAACACTTATTGTGTAAGGCACTTTCATGTACTCTGTTAACTGCAATTTGAAAAATCCTAACTGGCATGCAACTCTCAGACCTCATCCCATATTTATTTAAACAGAAGCTCCAGAAAAGGGAGATTAGTTTTGCACCTGACGTTAACCACATTGTCATTTTAACAATAAGGACATTGAGGCTCAGAGGAATGTAGGTAACTTTACCTAGAGTTATGCCATTTGTTAGTATCAGAGATAGGGATGAAATCCAGAGGCAGAACATCTGTGTCCCAGATTTTGTTTTATGTAATTCTTATTCCCCACCCACCACACGACCTCGGTCAATACCGTTATGAACTATTTGTCAGGGAAAGACAATACAACACATTTTCCTGAATTCACGTTTACAATGCTCTTGCGTTGTTACCAGAACTTTATATCCAAATAGATGGAGGAAATTGCTGGTTGTATTTTGAGGGGTAGAGGGATAGATATTCTATTCCCTCCATACTTTCAAGGGACAGAATCTTCCCTGATCTCTCCCTCTCCCCCAACCCCTCTACATCCTTTCCCCGCTCCTCCTCCGTTCAGTTATGTCTCCTTAACCACCCTGCCCCCAACCCCCAAAAGTTAAATGGACAGGATTAAATATGGTTAAAATAAAGTGATAGTGAACAAATACCCTGTAATTTTTTCTGTTTACAATTCCATATCTCCTTATCCTTGGTCACACAATACATTTAATTCTGACTAAATCTGAGGTTTTTTTTTAAACATAATTTCTACATGTTTAATTTGAACACTTTTATTTTATTTAAGTCAGTAGAAGAGGTAAACTATTTTTGGTAGAGGAAGTATAAATCTGGAATTTTCCTTCACTGAGTTGAAAGTAACTGGATTAGTTCATCCTCAGGCATAAAATATCTTTGTATGAAAGATGTGTTTTCTTAGTTGTGAATTATACATTGCATTTAATAATTTATGCTTTGCAAGGACAGAAGTCACAGATCCTATATCCACATACAGTAGTATTCTTTAAAATTTGTTTTTTATTCCATGTAAATGTTGAGATTATAGAGATATGTAGTTGAAATAAGGAAAGCCATAATAAACATTTGTGCTGAACCTCATAAGAACCCTAAAACTGTTATTTTAGTAGTTCAGTAACAACCCTCTGTCACTACTGTGAGACTAATTTTTATTTATTAAGGTAAATGAGAATTCTTTAGGAAAACATAAAGGAAACAATGGCCATTTTCATTTCAAAGTACTTGTTCCAGTGGAGTATGTGAGATTTTTTTTTTAAAGCAGATAAATCCTATCATTGTACAGAAAGCCTGTGTGCAATAAATCAAAATGTTTCTTATCTCTAATTTTCCTTAATGATATTGATAACCTCTAGGGTTGCTGAGTAAACACAAGTCTTTTCTTCACTAACTTTGTGACTCACCTGTGCTCAAAGGGCAGCACAAGCTGCATGTTGCCACAGAGGGTAAACACACTTTATTAAAAGAATCAACCGCTAAACGCTCTCTGAGTCAAAGCACTATCCACAAAGCAAGATAACAGAAAGTGTGCCCAGAGGTGAACAAACCATTTGTTTGACCTGCAGAGTGGCTATACATACAACACACACACACACACACACACACACACACACACACACACACACAGAGTTTCCAAGGGAGCCAGAATTGACATTAAATAAGAAAAGGTAGGTTAATGACTAAGTTTAGTATTTCTAGTGCTATACCATATACACATGCATGTTTTGTGAGTTTAATTAAAATCAGTAACAAACAAAAAACTAGGCATTTTAAAGGATTTTTAGATGTGCTTTTCACAGTTGATGTGGGTGTTGTTAGTTGAGATCTCAGTTATTTCTGTTTGTTGATTGTATTAATTGGAGTTTAAAATTAAAATAATTTATAAAGCCAATTAGGAGTCTGCCACTTTTTCCTCTGAGTGAAATATGTCGTTTTGTAAATGATTATTTAAAGTTAACTTAAATGTTTGCTTGTTATCTTCTCTGCTTCTGAATGTCTTTTCCCTCCTCTTCTCAGTCCCCCAAAGAACTGACCTGAAACTTATCTTACAGACATTTTCATAACATTCCTTTGCTTTGCATCTTTCAAAAACTCACTCCTGATTTAAAAGTAGTTCAGATACAACTAGGTGGAAGCATTTCTACACTGATGGAGTATATTATGTGAGAGTCATTATAAAATATGTATCAAGGTTTAGGCTCTATATTGGTCTCGTAGGTAGCTATAAAGAAGGGGAAGGAAAGAATTCCTCAGCTCAAATAATTTACAGTTTCAAATAGAGTGATTTTATCATCTAGAGAAAGAAAAGATTACTTATTAACATTAAATAAAATGCTGGGGTTTTTATAACCCACCAGGCCTATAGATAAAAGTCTATATTCAGGAAATCTTCTCAATCTAGTAAAAATAAAGTTATCCAGCATATTATAACATGTGAACACAAAGAGTCCCATTAGTAAAACTATTCCAATCAACTCTGCAGTGGACACTCTGCTTTGTATGGATTTCACTGGGCAGACCCAGTGACAGCGAGGCAGGTACCAGAGATACCTCTCCTCAAGGAGCATTAAAACCTTTGAGAAATAAATCTGAATTGGTGCTTTTAATGTAGATCTCAACAGTCAATCCTACAAAACTGGAAAAGAGAAATTGGTTCCACTCACTCCAAAGTAGATAAATAGCTTACAGTGGAAAAAAAAAATCTTGAATGCATGGTTTTACCCTAACAGAATAAATATTTTTTTAAAAATAGCACTTTGAGAATGACAAAAAAATAAAATTAACCTTTTCTGAGAGTCCACGTGTCTCCTTCTAGTCCTGATAACAGGCCAATGAAAGAGGCTATCGGAGATCATCAGCCCTGGAAAACAGGAGGAGAAGCCTCTGCAGGGTAGATAGGAACGAAGGCTGGCTACTGGGACTAAGATGCCGTGAATATACAATAAAATAAAGAATGATAAATATAGATAGATAAATAGGCGAGAAAGTAGGAGAGAAAAAGAATGAATGACAGAAAGAAAGAAAAAACATTTTTAAACTATTTTTTTTCTGTGTAAAAAGATGAAGCATTAGACTTCTTTCCTTGTACCTTCCACCAGTAGGATTAGTTTTGTTCCAACAAGAAGTGGAAAGGCCCCGAGTTTCCTTTTGCGCATTAAATAATCCTCATTTAACCTTGCATGGTTCTTTTTTTTAAGCATGATTTCTGTCTTTGACTTGACCTTCCTACCCCTATTTGGTCAGTAAAAACTAAGCGTTCTTTTACTAATGTCATGTCAGGACTCTTGTGAAAACCATGTACCAAGTATCTTTGTCTCCAGGCTCCCTGATTCAGTTGTTTCTGATCTGAGACAGGAGATTAGCCTTTCTATAAAGCCAGGCTCATTGGGTTTCTCCAATGACCTAGAGTCCTTTATGGCTCCTATTTAAAAAAGGTGAACCATCAGACTCCTATATTCAACACCCTTCTGCTATCCCAACATATTCTTAATGGGCCCTCAATACCAACCAGAGCATATCCTCAATATGCTACATTAATTCTTCTCTCTTTCCCAGAAATGGCTTCCCTTTTCTTCTCTACTTAAGTAGTCTCCACTCATACTTCTCAGACCGTGACTCACATCTTTCAGAAAACCTTCCTTGACCCTGAGGGGCTCTTTAATATATTAACACTCCTGTGCTTCCGGAGAACTGGTTTAGAAATTTTTTTTAATTAAAATTCTATTCTAACAGAAAGTGATAGCAGAGTAAGAGTATACTTTTTTTATATCAATAGGACAGGTGTTACAGGAAAATATGCAACTAATATAGTACTCAATATATCAACAAGTCTTAAATAAATGGTTTATTCCTTTGGTAGGACTTTATAGATCACATACTCTGAGCCAAGCATTAACTAGATTCTGAAAATACTGGTATCATAAATACATTCTTTGCCCTGAGCGAGCTCACTGTCTAGTAAGAAGACAGGCAAATTGGCAATCATATTACAGTATGAGGATTGTTACTTTGCATCATGGTACAAAATGCTAACTAAGTGAGCAGGTGGAGGACATACCTAACCCAGACTAGATTGTCAGGTAAAGATACCCTGAGGAGGTGACATGGGCTGTTTGATTCGTAATGGCATATAAAGATAGATTGTAAGGATAGATGCAGTATATAGTAAGGAAGAAATGGAGGTCCACGCAGAGAAAGAGTCTACAAAATAGAGAAAGCAGAATGCTTTTGAGGGTCTATAGCTAATATGGTAGGGCTGGTGTGAAGCGTGTAGGGAGTGGGAAGGAGAAACAAAGTAGGCCAGAGTGGTGTTTCTGAGACAAAACCCCGGAGACTACCTACATTTTGGATGATAATACTAGGAACAGTCTTCAGGTGTTTGAAAGCCTGAGCTATGAAGATAGAGATACATTTATTCTGCAAGAAAAATAATAACTACAACCAGGATTAGTAGGGGGTGAGAGCCAAAGAAATGAATGCTTGGTTGAGGATAAATAATTTTCTAGCAAGTGAAGATATAAAGAAACAAATAAAACATAGTAATAACAATGATGTTCACAGTGACATTGAAAATGGATTCCGAATTTTTATCAGATAGCCTTATATGAGGGAATCCGTTTGAAGCAGTGTGAATCTTTGTTTTGTTGGATGAGAATGCACTTCCTTCTGAGGCTGTGGGCATTCCAGCCCAAAGCAGGCAGGCAAACGCTGGACTATGTCATTTCAAATCTTTCTTTCTGCAGCATTTTTGTTCCTATTACACAAACTGTATATAGAACTTGCCACGTACTGCCTGGTAACATTAGTTAGTAAATTATAAGTGATGCGTATGTATGAAATGATAAGTGGGTAACAGTAAAATGAACGGATATTTACATTTTGTAGGTTGTTACTTTGTATGGTCTAAAAACAAAGCGCTGCCATGGCTGTCTGCTTGGGAGCTCACATATTGTGATTTCCTTGGAAGTTGTTGGTTCGGAGCTTTTTCATTGTCCATCCTCCCTGACTGTGTTAACTACCTTCAATTGTAGGGCACCAGCAGCCTAAAAACTAACACTTATTTACCTCCCGGGTAAAGAATGTGGGGAACTAGACATTTGTAACTAAGGAATATTGCCACGAGTCCAGCTTACTTAGGCGTTCAAGGGGCATAAGTCAGGCTCCCGCAGGCTTATCTTGGCTTTCATTGTTTGGTCTTCCTCCTGTGCCAGGCTTGTTATTTCCACTTTATTTCTGCAGAAAAGAGAAGTTTCCTCTATTTTCTTTTTAATGGATCTCTCTCTGACTTTTCCTTTTTTAACTTTGTTTTATAGATTCTAACTGGCATCACAATTTCCTGCTGATTCACACCTTTATTCCAAAGGCCTCAGTCGTTTGCAGTGAACAAAACTCCAGATTCAAGGGTCTGTAATGGAATTATATCATGACCCTATTAATCTAAGATTCATTCATTTATTGAGCACTCACTTTGCCCTAGGTACAGTCTTAGAGGGCATAAGTGAATGAGTACATGTGAACAAGTCCCTTCTGTCTTATGGCTTAAAATGTAAATACAGTGTAATGAGCAAGCTTTGTTTCACGTGTTCATAGCAAATCAAACACTCTATCTGTATCTGGGTACATTCAACCTCAGCCCCCTCCATGTGTCTCCGTAAGACTATACCCTCAGCAGAGAGAAACATGTTAACATAAGGTCAATTATCTAGATTATTATTATTCACTACTAACATGAAAATTTCTCCATCTTCAGAAATGGTTGAAAATTTAAAATATTCATTTTTCTCCAAAAAGCAGCAGCACCGTTTTACAAATCTTAGCAAAAAGATCATTATGTTCTGATTCTGTATTTTCCATCAACATAAAATTTTTGAGCTGTACTCACTCAAATCGTAAAACTCTTGAGTTCTTATATTCATTTTTCAGATTACTTGATTGAAAGATCTCATCTATCTAAAAAAGTAAAAAGTAAAAAATAGCATATTAAATTTAAGTTTTAAACTTTTGTTAAAAAATTGAAACAGTAATCTTTATGTTCTGTTTAGAACTGGATTGGGGCATTTTCCTTCTCTGTGGTGATGTAGCTCATATATTTAAGCATCCTGGGGACATTACAATTATTTACAAATTTTTTCAAAGTGAGAAAACAGGCTCTATGTATCTTTTGGCAAATAGTTAGTGAAACTAGGTTACAAACTTTTAAACCAGCTGAAAAGAGAGTCTCCTACCATTTCCTGAAGGTCAAAAGCAAGAACTTTGAAATCCACTGAGAATTTGTCTTGCAAGTTAGGATTATATGTGGCTCCCGATGTTATTTTCAAAGTCCCTCTGGCTTCATGACTTTTTCCAAACACTGCATCTAAATGAATTAATAAGAAATAAAACACTAAAAATGTGAATTATAAGAGAGGATATGCATATTTTGGTTAAGACAGAGTAAAGTTCTTGCTTCATGTGTTGGCGCAGTAGTTCTCTTGCTTTTTTTTTTTTTTGCAGTCTTCATGTTTCATAATCAGCTGCTTTCCCCCCAATGTGGTTGTTTTAAAAGATTAAAAATTAAATCTTTTCTCTATCCTATTTTTTCTTTCTTTTCTTTGAAGTCAAACCCACACTCCATGCTTCCAAGCTTTTTTTTTTTTTTATTATTGAGATTCCTGTTGGTAGATACGGGGATGATCAACTTCCACCAATTATGGGAACTGATTCAGAGAAACATGGTGAGAAATGGACCATTAAAAGTTTTGTAGTTGCTTTCAGATACTTCTTGAACACCTAGCATCCAGGGACACTGCTGGTTTTCTATATATGGATTGCTGTGAAGGTTTCAGTGTGTGTGTTACTTTGAAACATAGCTTTGAAGCTATTTCTTTTATTCTAATAATTATAAAATTGACATGTATGACCTTTTGCCATTAGATTGGAATGTTATTATTAGGGAAGTCATTGAGAATGCTGCAGAAAGTATATTATCTCAGTCTGAAAAAAAAGTAAGGAAAATGCTAACAAACTGAATATAAACAGGGATACTAAAATGTGCCATTAAGTCCTGCATAATGCCTTTATCAGAATATTTTCTTTGATATATATTTATATTTAAAATGAGTTGCTTTAACTGAAACTCACATGATGAAATCATTAGTAAGTACAATAATAATGATACATAATTCTCACATTGACCTGGTATGATAAAATGTTATTTCTTCTATTTCCAGATGGGGAAATTGGAGCTTAGTTTCATAAAGAATAATTTCAAAGGTACCAGAAGTCATAAGTGACAGATATAGAATTTGAGCATAGGAGTGACTGACTCTAGATGCCAGAATCTGTTATATGTTAACAACAAACTTTCCACTCAGAAGGAATATTAGACATAATATTTCAAACAATGAACATGCATTTAGTCTAAACAGTTATCATTGCATAATTGATGTAACATACAATTTATATTACATCATTTTTTAACAATCAAGATTACATTAAGATTTGCATGCTTAAATGTGAAAGGCAAGGAAAAACTGAGACAAGGAAAGACAAAAAATACTGTCACGGATTGGAGGAGACTAAGGAAACACGATAACTAAATCTTATGTGGGCGTCTGCATTGGATCCTGAACAAGTAAAGGACATTAGTAGAAAAAATGGTGGAATTCGAATAAAGTGTGCAGTTCAGTTAATAATACTGTACCAATGTTAATTTCTTGGCCCTAACAGTTGTGCTATGAATATACAAGTTATTGACATTAGGGGAAGCTAGACAAAAATTATATAAAAACAATTTTTGCAAGTCTAAATTAATCTCCAATAAAAAGTAAAACAATGTATTAAAGATAATATGTTTTACGTCTTCTGGTGTTTTATCATATATTTAACTCCAATTCTTTTTTTATATTCAGTTGTTCACTATGAAATCATATTAACATTTATAAATATTTATTTTCTATTTTACTAGTAAGATCACTAACTTTTGTATCTTTATTGAGCATCAGAGATTCCAGTGGACTTCTAAATGATATTATATCCTTGAAGTTATTCACAGCATTTAAATAAGACCAAGCAGCCACATTTCTAAAAGTTAAAGTGAACCTCTATAACTTGTTTAATTGTTCATATAATCATATAAACTGTCCACAAGACCTCTTTTTCTTTCACATATATCCCTCATACCTGGCTATAGTATTTAAATAAAGCAGGGATCATGTTGGAATTATTTTGTAAAACTATGTCGTATTTACTGCATTCTAATTTAAACTTATTCATTTACTAGAGGAAACAGCTGACTCAAAGGCTGAGAATTTTCTTGGTAAAACTAAAATCACTCACATTAAAAGGTTCTACTGTGTGAGTTTTCAGAAAGAATTAATATGCCCATATGCAATTAATAATTTTAAAACTGTAAAAATTTTCTCAGAAAAATGAATCCAAATACTCAAGTTTCTGCTGTGCTGGCAATTAAAAATATATCCTATAAATGAATAAATGATAAATAAGAGCACAAGTTCTAGAGTTGGATTGCCTACTTTGGACTCTTCTGCTACCTAGTAATGGTGAACATTTAAACAAGCTATTGAAATTCTCTGTCCCTGATTCATTATCTATAAAATGAGTGTATCAATAACACCCATCTCATAGGTTTGTTGTAACAAGAGAATACATTTGAAGATCTTTAAAAAGCTGCTGGTACATATAATTTAGCTCTAAATAATAGTTACCTTTTTCTATTTTTTTTTGTTTTTATCACAAATTGCTACTCAGGCAACTAGAGATCTTTATAAGTCTTCATTTACATCCACATTTTCTTATATTGTTGTAATTAAAATTGTCTGCCTGCTAAGAGAATGAAGATACCATTCTCTAGAAATAAATATTTTTTCTTTAACTTTGTCTATTTATTGACTTGTATAGTCAACGTGTTTTAATATGTTTATGATTTAAATTCTATCAGAGTGAACCCACAGGCTTTGGAACCAAGTTTGTGATATGTTGAAACTAAGAAACTTACTTAACATTTTTTATTTAAGACTTAGTCTCGTGCTTGCATTCTTAATTAAGTTTCAAATTATATACCAAGTAAGTTTTCTAATATTCTACAGAGTGAACTACAGCAAAACATCTCAATGCAACAGAAATATCTTGTCACAAAAGCACAGCAGTGAATAAAATGTACTGGCAGGATAACTGAGGTTAAAGTGGGTATTGTACATTCATCTGAGGGTGCCTTCAGTGGCCACATCCATGTGACTTACCTCTTTCTGATCCCTTGATTGACAGCCAGGACACTGCAATTAATCCAGCACAGATCACCATCAAAATGGCAACGAGAGCTGCAAACAGAACTTCATAGGTGCTGAGAGAATGGTGCCTTGAAGGTACACTTCTTTTTGACACCATTTTTGGCTTTTGAAGATATGCTAATCTAAACACTGTGAGAGAATATAAAAACCTGCTGGAAAGAAAAATCTCTCAAGTTTTCTAAAAAGATTTGGAAAGCAACAACATAATTCTAGGCAGCGTTACTAGTCCGTGTCCCTAGTACATGTCCCTCTGGCAATAGTATGTCTCCATACATTAAGTAGATTTGAAAGAGTAGTTAATCTTTAAGAAGATATAAATGAGTAAAGAGATACCTAGCATTGTAAATGTTAATTAACTGAACAGGCCATTTGTGGAGATGAATGAAATTAAATGCATGTTGTAAACAAAAACGACACTTTATCATTTTGAAAACCATTAGGAAAAATATAAAATTCATGATAGACAAATTGGTCATTAGGCAAATGCATTTGGTATTTGTAGAGAGTTCCTAACAGATCAATATTCTGTGCTCTGACTCAGGTCATTTTTAAGGCATTTCTCCTGTTCTACGTAGGTGTAGACATTCTAAAAATAACTTTTATGCACAGGTATCTATAAAGCCTAACATACATATTAATATCTACATGTCTCTCTCCTTTCTGTTCTTTCTCTGTGTATATATTCTTATTGAAACCATCACAAGTTTTATAACCTTCATCGTATCACTCATGAGGCTATGCCACGTAAGACCGTATTGATTTAACTTAAAGGAAAGTCCACTTAAACAAGGCATCATATGGCCACTCTTTATGGCTTCGTGTCAATGAATGGACTTTATCTCTATTAACATACCAGTTATAAGAAGAGAACAGGTTATGATAAGCACACTCATAACTGTAGATCTATGCTTTCTGGTAAAATCAAGACTCTTTCCTGGCAAGTAAAGTACAGCTTATCATTGGAACTTCCAGCCCTTGAATAACAATGACTCTAGAATTCAAAAATAAATACATTAAATTACTATTGTGAAGTAAATCCATTTGCCTTTTGTTCTGGTAAGCAAAACTGGACAGAAGTAAGGAAGTCCTAGATTAGCGGTCCTCAATACACTAAAATGTTGGCATATTATAATTGGCTAAAATAAGCAATAGCCCCTTTTCTTCCTCCTTTAGCCTCGAAAGAAAAGAGCAGAGTGTTGCACTCTGAAATCCTCACCATAAAAAGTAGAATATAAGTAAAAATTGTGCATCATGGGATACACTTCTTACTTAACTGAAATAATTAGGCACTCGGAAGTATACATGAAATGAGAGATACCATTGATGCAGTTGGGCGAGGTTCCTTTTGCTTATATTCTAGCGTACAATTCTAATAATAGGACTGACCAGACAATAAAATTGGAACCTGGAGAGTGACCCTTGAATTTGCATACAGATATCATTATTGATTTCTAGAGTTACACTTTGAACTCATAAGCATAAATAAAACAATGAAAACATTTATATAGATATGGAATTAGTACTATCCATTTGGGCAGAAAAGTGCACATTATACACAGAAAATGCAGTAAAATGGAACTCGCCCTATCAGATAACAAACATTACAGAGTTATAATAATAAAAAGTGTGTGACCTTGCTCCAGGAGTAGGAAAATATCTCTCTCAGTGGAATAAAATTTAGAGCCCCCAAGCAACTTGATTCACATATGAAAACTTCATATCTAAAAAGAATGTTCCTAATAATAGGTGGAGAAAGGATAGCTATTTAGTAAGTGATACTGGGTTGGTTGGTTATCCATCTCAGGATAAATACAGTTAGATCCTTATCTCACACTGTGAGGAAAAATAAATTCCAGATGGGTTAAATATACATAAAAAGTACAGAAAAAAAAACTGAAGAAAATGTAGAAAGGTGTCTTTCTGATAGTAGGGTACTGAAGCAGTTTTAAAAAAAAAAAACCTAAAAAGTAGAGGACAAACCAGGAAGGAGAATACTGATAAACTTAGCTAAATAACACTGACTTAAAAAATATATATATATCAAAAAGAAAGTAAAAACTAAAGATACAAACTAGATTTTTTTTTTCTGTACATGTTATAGTTTGGTTACAACAGAACAGAACTGAGGCAAAGAGTTTTGTAGGACTTTCTCAAGTTTATTTGAGAGGCAATCCAAAGAAAATCCATGAGAGGAACTGGGAAATGAAAACAGATAGGAGTGGTGGGGGAAAGCCATAAAGGTTATGTCATCAAGGCAGTTACCACAGCTGATTCGGGGACATAATTCTGTCCGGACTGTGCAAGACAATGAGAAAAGTCCTCAGAATTATCCCAGGTAAAGGGCAAGGAAGCAGGGATTTTTATTCACCCAATAGCCATGTTCACTGATTGAGAGAAGTTCCTGGGACTTTAACTTGCCTCCTTTCCGCTTGCCCTATGTGTGGGTACAACGTTCAGGAAAGCCCACATGCATATGCAGAGATGAATGCGAGCACATGTAAGAAGGACCCTTAACAGGTTACAACTGAAAAATGTTTTCAGAATTTATAAAGGATTTCTGATTGACACACAAGAGACAAACAGCAGGCGATTAACAAAAACACAAAGCCAAACAAACAATAAAGAAACAAAACACAGATGCACTAATGTTTATAGGTGCTCAACTTTAGCAGATCTTCAAATTTGGTAGAAATTATGGAATGTGAATGAAAACAAAAATGAAATAGCATTGCCTTCAAACATAATAGCAAAAAACCAAAAAAAAAATCTATATTGCTTGTTAAGAATCTTTTTGGAGATTTTACAGATGATTTTGCTCTCTGAAAAGGTGTTGAAATGCCCCAGTGTATTGTCAGTTAACTCTAAGTTTGCTCCCATCATTCATGGCTCAAACATGACAGACCCTTATGAAATACACGTTTGCTTGTCTCCAAGGCTGGTATATTTCTTTTCTTTGACTTCCTGTATAATTTTACACACTATTCTAATATCTAATTGATAAACCTCTTGCTATTTTAGGTTTTGCAAGAGGACAGTCATCTTCCTTTGTACAAAGTCTAAGGACTATTTGATAACCATCATATTAAGTAAAAAAAAAAGGGGGGGGAGGGGTGCGTAGGCCTTCAAGTATTATTAAATATCTTTGTTAGTGAGGACATTTGGGTACTATGACTGCGGAGACTTGTTTACTGGAATTTTTTTATTGTTTTGACACTTGAGGGAAAATTTGGCTGAATATAAAAATGTGGTGCCATGTTGTCTTCCCCTAAGAACCTTGTAGATATTCTTCTGCTATTCTCTGGCAATGAGAATTGAATTAGTCCTCTCTCATGACTGTTCCATTCATCTTTTGATTGAATGTGTACCAGCATCACCAGTTTTTTTTGGGTGGGTGTGGGTGTGGGGGGCACTATTTTTAGAAAGACTGATGGATTCTTCTATATTCCCTGAGTTCATTCATATGTGAGAAAACTTCCTCTTTCTTTCATACTTGAATGATACTTTGCTGAGGATTATATGCATGGGAAAATGACAAGTTTATTTTTTTCTTGGAATTCTCAAGATATTTTTCTAACACTGTTTTTCTGACACAGAACATAATATTGGAAATGTTGAGCGCTAACCCTCTACCTTATTTTTTTGTATGTGACATGTTTTGCATGTGACATCTGCATGAGTGCCTAGGGAATTCTTTTTTCGTACTTGAGGTTTAATAGAGAATAAATTGCCATTGATTATTCTGAATTGAGTTTTCTTGAAATGTGGTGTGCCTTTTTCATTTCCCCCTTTATCTAAAAATTAACATTCCTTTATTGAAGTTTTGAATTTTTTTTGTTACCCTGTTTACTAAATGTCTTCCTGGGGTTGGGACCCATTTTTCCTTAGGTTGGATTCTCTTAGTCATTTCTTCATACTTTTCTACTAATTGTTACAATTTCAGTAACCACCTCATACATTTTAATTATATGCAATGTTCAACTCTCTGTTTTCTGTTTTCTGCTGTTCTGGTTTATTTATTATTTGTATAATTCTGTTGATTCAGATTGCAATTGGTTTTCCTAGTTATAATCTTTCTCTTTTAATCAAATTCTGTGTTTTTTATTACTGAGTTCTTGTTGTCTTGAGCTCATTTTCTTATTAACTTATTTCATAAAATGTAGTAATATAGAAAATTTTCCTTTGGTTGACTTTGCTTCTGGGATCAGGTTTTTGGAAGCATTTTATATACTGTTACCTTTCTTTCTCCCTTCCTTCCTTTCTTTATTCCTTCCTTCCTTTCAAGGTATATTTACATGGGCATCATGCTATTTTTGTTTGTTTTGTTTTTTGTTTTTTATCTGGTTCGTGCTATACTTAGTCCTGCTTAGGCTCTTCTTCATGGTTTTCCCATAGAACTGGGGAATTCTCCTTGCATTTAAGTTACAGTTTGAGGAATGCATACTAATACTTTTTTCTTTTCTATAAAAAGGGGCTGGGGGAAAGTGCTGAGGGAGGCGGATAAATTCATGTGAGGTTACATACAGCCTTTGCACAATAGCTCAGATTCCTTTCTCTCTTCTGCAGTTTTGTTAAACACCCTGCACCAAAGTTTCCTGTACTAATGTTTTATTCTGTTCCTGAATGTGTGCAGGATGCTACTGTGCATCATACTATTCCCTCCACGGTGATGAGTAGCATTGAGACATCATAAGCCCCCAGGGTTTCCTCACATTTCAGCTGAGCTCCCTCTGTAGTCACTGGCCACCAGGGGCTGCTAAACCTCAGATATTTCTCAGGCTGCCTACTCACCAATTTGACCTGCTTTTCTATAAATTGCAAGGTATTAATGGAAAAGTAGAATTCTTTGGAGTTCTTTTCAGCAATACTGATTGGGACAAGCAGGTTTGTAGGTGAATGATAGAAAAAAAGCAAAAACAAATGGCATCTCTTAATATTCTTATTATTGGACAAAGTTTATGCCATAAACTTTGTTTTTGTAATGTTTTGTTTTTGCTTTTCTTTTTTTTTCTTCCGGTGATTTATTGACTAACTTATAACTAATTTATAACTCATTTAATTAGATTCTAGAGAAGAATGTTTTAAGCTTCGGCTTCAATT